TTCCTAAGAAGGCCCATCACAAAAATGTCATTGTAGAAATGAGCAGACGTTAATAATTACTATTTGAACAATATTAGGTATTATGTAGCAATGGGAAAGGCAAGAAGAGTAGCTAGCTCCTTCATTAAAAAGGATTTCTTGCAATTATTGAGCCCCAGGCTTGTTTCTGCTGCTGTTGCTAAGATCAATAGCCTGCCAGATAGGAAATATGTTGATGAAGACATAAAATAACACTTACACACATATTTTACTCAAAAATCCAGAGAACTGGGAATACTGTATTGAGGGGGTGGGAGTAAGGAAGGGAATACATAAGGGTGAAAAAATATAATGTACAATAATTAATTCACCCTCTGAAATTCCAGATGGCTCACTTTCAAACCAGCAATTATTTCATTGTTCTGGGTCCTTTTTCCAAATGTTTTTTGGAGTTATACCCCTATGAATTACCTCTGCCAAGACTTATCCAAAGGAAAAACCGTAACTATAAAAAGTACAGTAAGCAAGAATGTGTCACTCTTTTCTATTCCAACAAGTTGGTATCTGAAGATCTGGTTTTGTATAGGGGCATATTAGCCATGAGCAGCTATCCTTCTTTTCATTATTATTGCACATTTCGGGGTTATCATCCAAGTAGTACTGCAAATGAGGCCTCACTACAGAATTGCTCCTAGATTAAATAAATACATATTGACTATCTATCTATCTATCTATCTATCTATCTATCTGGAACTTAGCGACCTCTCTCACAGGTTGGCTTTTGGGATGGACTGTCAGATCAGTGCCCTTAACAGTGCATTACTTAAAAAGGCAATTGCTGCCAGTTGCAGCAGCCTGGTTTTACCAAGAGGTTCTTCCTGAACACTTCTGCAACAAAAAGAAAAAAGTTGATAAATTATCTTTATATTTAACGATCTTGCCTCTACCTTTAGAATCTCTTAAAATACTCCATTAATGGAGTCATCCTAATCTCCTTACATGAACTACTAGAGTTTAGGGACTTTATCACTATCTTTCCCTGAAGTTTAAACAAAGAAGTTGCTTCTCACCCAAATAAAAGAAACCATATGACATTTAACGGACATGGAAGAAAGTGTATTGTAATGGAGAAGAGCAAAGGATTACTAAGAGTTGGAAGAAGATCTAGGTTTCAGCTAGTTATACCTTAGCACAGGTACTTTTTTAACTTTTCTGTTGGTTCTTTGGGGTAAAATGAAATGGCTGGTCTAATTCTATGGAGTTAAGAAATAGGTAAGATGTGTAAAAGTACTTGTTAGCTATAAAGCACTACATATCTTAATAATAATCCTACAATAAAATCCACGAGAGCAGAGAGGTATTATTAATACATCCCCCTAACTTTTGTTGAAGGGCATGGTTTATTCCTCAATTGAAATTTTGGAGAGTAAAGCTTTCTCCACAGGACAGCAATTTGTAGTATTATTGTTAGTTGAGTTACATTAATTTTCCTCCCTAGTTTTTATTTGGTATCTTGGTGATAAAAGTTTTAGTCTTCACACTGTTGCAAAAACGCTTAGAACCAGAACTTGTGTCACAATTTATGTAGCTAAAGCACACAGTTAATACTATTTCTGTTTTTATATTTTTAAAGGCATAACATATAAACTTCTCTGGAAAGCTGAGGTATACTCATGTCCCTTTAATACTCCTGTTAAACTCAAGAGTGAAGTGCTCCCAGTCGGTTGGGCGTCTGCCTTTAGCTAAGGTTGTGGTCCTGGGGTCCTGGGATCGAGCCCCACCACTGGGCTCCCTGCTCAGTGGGGAGCCTGCTTCTCCCTCTGCCTCTGCTTCCCTTTCTCTCTCTCATGGATAAATAAATATATAAAAAAAAAGAGTGATGTGCTTCCCTACTGACCAAGAACTTAAAAATAGAATTGCTTCTATTCATATTAAACTAAAAACACAACAGTGAAAAATATTGTCTCCCTGGTCTAAGAAAATTATAAAACTAAGGGTGCCTGGGTGGCTCAGTTAAGCATCTGCCTTCAGCTCAGGTTTTGATTCCAGGGTTCTGGGACTGAGCCCCACATCAGGCTCCCTGCTCAGCAGGAAGTCTGCTTCTCCCTCTGCCTCTCCCCCTGTTCATGCTCTCTCTCCCTCTCTCTCTCTCAAACAAATAAATAAAATCTTAAAAAAAAAAAAGAAAATTGCAAAACTTTTTAAAACTATCATTAATACTAAACTAGTCAAAGGGCATCGATGAACAGGGATGGGCAGTATCTAAATATCTAAATAAGATTTCAGTGGGAGCACGTGGATAAGAGAAAATTTCAGTAATACAGTAAGGAACATCTCCAGCGAGGTAAGAGATACTACATCTGGTACAGAGGGACAATCAGGTCTACTGAGAAACAGGGCCACAGCCTCCTGGGGCTTCATATACACTATGTAATGTTCTGAACAAGAATTCAACTTCTCAGGAAATCTCAAGAACACTAGTTTGTGGAAAAGGAGCATCCCTACCATGAATGGGTATTAAAATAATATATATTATATCCTAGAAATTGTTTTAAGTATTCTGTGGGTACTAACTCCACAACCTACATAACTCTGAGATAATACCCATCTTAAACGAGGGGAGTAAAGTATATAAAGGCTAAGCAGTTGCCCAAGCTCACACACATTTAAGTTGTAGAGCCAGGAATCAAAACTAGGTAATTTGGCTTCACAACCAATACTAAGCTCTATGGATATATTAGCATCTCTGAGAGTCATCTACAAATGCAGGTTTCTGAACCTGCAAAGCCAAGGCAAAGACTCTGAAACCTGGTTAAAGTCACTAATGTTGCTCTACAGGGCCCTATCCACACCCTCTATCTTGCGGACATGCTATTAAACTTCCAGGAGTTACTTTGAATATTTTAGTCTAAATAGGAATTTACATATTTTTAAAAAGCAACAACAAAGTATCTGTTTGGTGGGCACTTAATGTTCTTGTATCCACAGAGTACTTAATGTTCTTGGTAAGAGCAAGGCAGGGGAAAAAACTTTTAATTTTATATTAAAATCAACAGGTCCTGAAAATGACTCATCTCAAAAGAATAATACACATGGAATTTCTAAATATAAGAAAAGTTAGTACTCCTAACACTCACTGTAAGATAGTACGCCAACCTTGCATAAGAAAGCATCTTGGGGGAGGGTCAACTTTTTTTTTTCCTGGTTTAGTTCACAAAACATAAATAGAAGTCAAGAGGTACCAACTGTTTAGGCTGTGACCTAACACCATCTCCTACTGTTGAAATCTTTAAAGGGCTGAATACCAGTCAAAGTCAAAAGGTTTATATCTTGTTGACGAACAATGCCATTTTTGTTGTTAATTCCATAAGAGCTCTCTCATCCCAGCAATACAAATCAAACAATTATTTTTCTATAAAAACAATGAATAATAATGGGACTGCATTGATAACTTTATTGAGTAATGCTTTATGTAACTTTAAAAATTGGGAATTGGGCGCCTCGGTGGTTCAGTCAGTTAACTGTGTCTGCCTTTGGCTTGGCTCATGACCCCGGGGTCCTAGGATGAGTCCCGCATTGGGCTCCCTGCTCAGCGCTAAGTCAGCTTCTCCCTCTGTCCTCCTCCCCTGCTTGTGATCTCCCTCTTCCTCTCAAAAAAAAAAAAAAAAAAACCTTAAAAAAAAATAAATAAAAATGGGAATAAATATTTCAACTACCTAACGAGTCGAAACTTTTAATTTAAAGAAATTTAATATAATTGGGAAAAATTGGAAAATACAGAAACACAAGACTTTGTCATAGTCTTATTTCCAAAAGAATAATATATCCTCAGTACAAAATAACTTCTGACATTCATTTGTGTTTAGTTGTCAACAGCTGTTATTGAGTTTTTCAGAAAGAAGATAAAACTGGCCTACCAGAACTCCATGGACTTCAATAAACGAAATTTAATTATACCTTTTAGATTCTGGCATGCAGGGTTTTAAATTTTTTTGTTTTGCTTCTCCATTAGAGGCTATAAACAGCTGGAATATTGTGTAATTTTTCTTTTAAACAGTATCTACACTCTACCTCCACAGATGCATTTCTTTTCGGTAGCCCAAATCATCAGTCATCATTTCAAGGCTGGTGAACTTGAAAGCTCCTAATTCCTAAGTTAATTTTCATTGTTCTACAATATCTGTTAAGATGAGTGAAAAATAGGCATTTGACACCTTAATATATATGTACATTGACTTTGGTAACAATTTCTTTTAATATACTAATAGTATGATAGTTCATGAAAAAGCAGAATATATCGATCTTAAATGCTCTTCTAAAATAACCTACAAATAATCTTTAATTAGGTAGCCAAAGAATCTTTATAATCATCTAGAATAAAAAAAGTAGACTGCTGCTTTTATCAATTTATTGGAAACTACATTGGCAACACTTTGCAATGTATTTCTTCTTTATAGTTAGTCGAAATTTATTACTATTTTGCCAAATGGAAAGAAAAAGTTCAGTACACAGTGGAAAATTTCATTCTTTTAAAAAAGTCACCTTAAATATACAGGTCTGATTACTTTGGTAAGCAATAGCAATAATGTTCAAATGGCACGTCTCTTAGCTTTTATGACCGTTGGTCATTTTCAGTATTATTACAATATGACCAGTTAATAAGCTTGACAAAAATTCTAACTTGTCATTTCTGAAGAGGAGAAGACATTTATAATACAGATTCACAATATACTAAAAATCCAAGGGCTTAAAATTTCATGTACCATGTGCCTCCAATAGGAAACTAAATGTTCATTTAGTTCAAGTTATCTAAATGTATCAAGAAAAACAATCTGCTAACCAATATCCCTGCTAAAAAATAAATCATCACAAAACATAGGTGATTTCCTTCCTATGTTATAAAGGAGCAAAAACTGTACGTAAAAATGTAGTGTTTCTCTAACCGATTAAAAACAATATATACCTGATTAAAAGACTAGTCAAGTCTGCAAGAGAAATAACACACAATAAAGCCAGTTATATTTTAGGTACAAGTGACAAATATATTTCTTTTTATTGTTATTAAAGTTTTCTCAAATGTAGTTCAGTAAATGAAGTATTTTATTTTATTCCACTGTTGGTCATAGTTTGAGCCCTACACACTCCCTTCCCTTTCACCTCAAAGGGAGCTCCTTTGTATGTAGCTACACACTCATCATTAGTAAAGAGATCAGGCTGGATCTGCTCCCAAATCTTCTTCTTAGGATTCAGCTCCTTGTCAGGTTCTCCTATTGGAGGGGGGGGAAAAAGAAGTTACATAGCTACCATATTAAATAAATTATCCATAGAGATTTCTAGTGAATTGTCTAGGCAACACTTTCTGATCTTTAGACCTGATCAGAATTTTAAACTTACTTTTAACATTTACTTTATTTTATGATGTCAGCAGTTTATATTTCTGATTGGTAAAATAAAATAATTTGTCATTTCCTAACGGCTTCTTTGATATGTTTAATTGTGATGTTTAACGGACACCCTTGCAGTTTAAGATGACTTTTTTAAAATAAAATTCTCTCCTAATGATGACTTGAGCCCCACTGATGGGAGGATCAGCAGAACCTGTAGGATCTTGTTTAGAATTGATAATCTCTATTGTAATTTTATTAAAAAAATGTTTTTGTTTGTTTCACTGGAAAGATGGATGCTCAGTTTTAAACACTGAAAGTGTACAAGTTGCTTTGTTAAAACTAAATATGTACATACACAAATATTTTGTCATTTCCCTACAAATGTGAAAGATTATTTTTTACTCTTATAAGAAATATTTTTGCAGGTAATACAGCCAAAAGAATTTATTCCCCAAATTATTTTCCCCAAATTAAAACAAAAATATAAGATACTCATTTTGTCACTATATATACAGAAAAACTGTGAAGAGATAAGAGTATAATTTGATGTGTTATATTTTTATATGTGGCACAGCTTCTGCTTTACTCTGTTTCAATGTACAAAATAAACGATGAGATGGCTGCCAAAGTGCTTAAAGATTTCTTACTGATACTGGAGAATGGATTAAATGTTGAGATTATCTAACTAAATATAATAACTACTTTCGATTTCATTTCCTGCCCATTCCACTGAGATGGAAAGAGATAGAAAGGGTTAGTAAGGAGACAAGGACAAGCATTTGCTAAGCACAAGAAATATATACTGTTGCATACAATGCACACAACACTCTAATTTTAAATATAAGGAAACTGGTGTTCAGAGAAGATAAGCTGCTCAAAGTTACATGATCAACAAATTACGATTTAACACCAAAACCCTTGTTCTCCTAGCATAGCATCTTGCCTCCTGATAAACCGTTCTTTAGAAAAGAAGTAACATTCTTACATGTGGATAATAACCCATTCTCTCTATCGTAACCCACACTAGAAGTTTATAATCAACAAAAGACAAATATATTGTAGAATACATCTGGTCTACTTAAGGGCCACCAATATACCAAACAATCCCTCTATTTAATGACTGATAAGGAAGTAGAAAGTAAAGTTTAATATAACATCATTTTAGTAGCTGGGGGGATGTTCAATCATCATTTGGAATAAAGAATCAGTTCAAGAAACAATGAAGAAAAGTAACAGATCTCTTAAGCATTACTGTGAAATAAGAATTGTTCTCCCGAAGGGTAATAAAAAGTTTTTCTGAAATCTCATTCAGTAATGATAGAAAATATAACTTTCTAGATCTTTTCTAAAGTGACTACCAAGTTCAAATCTTCTGGAATTACTTTAAAAAGAATCTTTAACGTTACTGGAACTAATTATATTTTATATTCTGATTACATCTTATTACCTACACTGGTTTTTATTCTCCACTCATACAACAAGAACAACAAAACTGAGTAAACTGGTTGGCCACAGTGGTTTTTTTCTTTATTAGCTCTTCAGAAACTGCCCATGAAACTGGCCAGAACATAGAAAACTGTCCTCTGATATGCATGTTTTCAGAGATGACAGAATAGTTAATTGAATGATGTATCTATTCCAGAAGAACATACAATGAATCTAAAACTGAAAGACTAGTATAAAAGATAAGGATTTCTCTTATTCTTTTAAGAGCATTTGATTGGACAATAGAGAACTAATAAACAGAACAGAAAAAATATCAATATATAAAGTATCTACAAGATTTTTATTTTTTGTTTCTAAACTATTCCTTAGTCTACAAACATAATCCTACTTTGCTTATACACAGATGATGTGGGGAAGTGGGCATTCCAGAATTCTAGAAAGCTGGAGGCAGAGATACTATTCAGGTAGGCCTGAGTACTAACTCTGAACTTCCCCGGCCCCCCCTCAAAAAGATACTGCCAACTGATAATGGATTAATTCAAGAAGCAGAGCATCTCAGATTTGTGTGAAAGCTTCTTATCAAGAGTATAGATTGTGTGGGTTCTTGCTAAATGCAGACATAAGCCCCAAATACAAAAAAACTGTGTGCAGCACAAAACTAAGCTTCTCAGATCTAGGAATATATTGACACGTATAGAAAATAATATTCATAATACATAACACATAGTGCTTACTATGGGCCATCAGTACACTAAGTGCTTTCTTTACATATATTTACTCATTCAATCCTCTCAGTACACAAATACTATTAATTACCCCCATTTTACAGATGAGGAAATTGAGGCACAAAGGTTACAGCTAAGAACTTAAAATATCAGGCAGGTAGCTAAGTGTTTCAAAAGTTAAACCTCACAGAACTCACACAAAAGACATAACATTAAAAACTCCTTATAGATAAAAAAGATAAGCCTCAGAAAGGTTCCCAGGTCACCCAGCACTGTGGAGTCAAGATCTGAAGCTTTAACTTCTTAACTAGACTAATAATTTTCCAGGAACAAAAACTTGAACTAAATATAAACTAGAAACTACTAAGAGGAACCTCTAAAGCTTGACTGTTGCTTTCAACACACCAGACTCAATACCTGAACACTCTGAATGTAGTTGTGAAACTTTATTCAATAAATGAAATATGATTCAGGAAAATAAAATTTTGAGATTATAATTAGAACTTGTCACATTATGATAACTGAATATAAATTAGAGTTGAAAAGTCTTGGATGCAGTGTTAACTTTCTGGCTTACTCAAAATGTTTCTCAATAATATACTACTTGGTAGGGTATAAAGCTAGTTTTGAAATGCAAGTTTAAATCACCTGCCATGAAAAACATACCTAATATCTTAAACAATTTTTTTAAAGATTTTATTTTTTTATTTGACAGAGAGAGACTGCTAGAGAGGGAACACAAGCAGGGGGAGTGGGAGAGGGAGAAGCAGGCTCCCTGCTTAGCAGGGAGCCTGATGCGGGACTCAATCCCAGAACCCTGGGATCATGACCCAAGCCGAAGGCAGATGCTTAACTGACTGAGCCACCCAGCCATCCCTAAACAATTGTTTTTTAATGAACTATACTGTCAAGAGAAGTCTTTCATCATTCCTGTGTATTGTACTTTTAATCTTACTTTCCTATTTCTTTTTCCTTTTTGACATGGTTAGCCAAAGAAGTTAAATGATATCAATAAAAGTTCTTAAACCTAAAAACTGCAGAAACTCTGAAATTGCTAAACACATGCCAATAATCACCATTTGGAAATATTTACACATAATGTAAGAGACTAATCTTTCAGAGACTATTTTAGGCCAACTCATTGTAAACAAAGCACACAGGCAATAGGAAATAGTTCAGAGAGGAGTTTGTACAGATGTAAAAAGCTATGACCACCTTCTTAGAATTTAAAGCCTACAAAAAGCAATAAATCCAAATTCCAAAGTCCCAGGCATTCACAAGTCTGGAATAAGAACCAGAAACTTCATTTTAATTAGGCCATTCTTTTACACAGAATGCTCATTGATTATCAGCTTCTCTTTGATATCTGCCATGTCCATAAAAAGCCTAGCACTAACAGAATTATTTTATGTTTAATTAACTGAATTTTTGAGATATAATAATTGTAACTATTGCCAAAAATTGTAACTATGGCACAAAAACTAAAGTATAACTTTGCAAATAAAAGTCAATTAATTTGGGGTACCTGAGTGGCTCAGTCAGTTAAGTGTCTAACTTCCGCTCAGGTCATGATCTCAGGGTTCCAGGATTGAGCCCTGTGCTAGGCTCCTGCTCAGCGGGGAGTCTGCTTGTCCTTCTCCCTCTGCCCCTCCCCCCACTTGTGTTCTCTCTTTTTCTCTCAGATAAAGAAATAAAATCTAAAAGAAAAAAAGTGAATTAATTTTACAAAGCTAATCAACAGAGAAAAGTGGTTTGGTGGTTTGAGGAATAATCTTGACAATAACAAAGGCAGATGCTCAGGTCTGTTCTCCAAATACTGGGGGACGGGGGGGTGTTGTTGGTTTTCTTAACATGTTTTACTAGTACGTTTCTTTCTGTCTATTCATTAACCAATTTATTGAGTTCCTACTCTATGCCATGCATTTTTCCAGATGCTAGGAATATAGCAGTGAATAACCACTACAACAAAAAACCCCAGAAATCTTGATTTCATGATGCTTACATTTCTGTGTGGGCAGATAATAATAAATAATGTATAGTATATTAGATGATGATAAGTGTTTTGAAGAAAAAACAAAAAAGATAACATTTAAAAGACTTCAATAGAATGAGGAACCAAGTCATGTAGCTAATTGGGGAAAGAGCCAATGGCTCAACTGGAGTGATCAATGAAGGTTTGTGGTGTACATGAGGTAAATGGAGATAATGGGAAGCCATTCTAAGAGCTTGGGCTTGTACTCTGGGTCTAATGAAAAGCTTTTTAATAGTTGTGAGCAGAGGAGTAATACAATCTGACTTACATCAATCGCCCTGCTATCATTGAAAATAAATGGAAGAAGGGCAAGGGAGATCATTTAGAAGGTTTTGACTTCCCAACAAGAGATGTTGGCACAAAGACCCAAGTGGTAGTGGTGTAGATGAGTATGATTCTAGATATGCTCAAAAGGTACAAGTACTCGGATTTTCTGAAGAAGATATGTGAGAAAATAAAAAGAAGTTGAGAGAATGGAGTTCCTGTCAGATAAGATGGTAAATACTATGGAAAAAGGGAATTCTAGGGGAAAGATGGGGATATCTATTCTTCCTTGGTATATGTTAGTGAAAAAGTCTAGTAGGCAGCCAGATAAATGACTGAATAAAATAGCCAAAAAAAATGAACACGGAAAGGAAAACAGAAGAGGCCAAGTGTGGAAAGAAAGAGAAGAGGGCAAAGACCAACGTCTGGGATATTTGAATGTTAAGAGGTCAGGGAGGTGAGGAAGAATCAGCAAAGGAGCTAAGAAGGGCAGCCAATGAGGGGACCGCCAGGATAATGTGGTGCCAGAAACCAAGTTAGTTAAGAAAAAGACTAAAAACTAGCCATGGATATTTAGCTACAGAGATTAATTCATGATCTTGATCAGAATAGTTCTGGGAAAACAGTGAGCAGAGAAACCTGATTGAAATGGGTTTTGGAGAGAAGAATCAAATATAGACAAGTTTGAAAAATCAAATTTAAACAAATATATTTTTTAATAATAAATGGATCGAAAAATTCAACACCTGCATATATCATACATGCTTTATAATTAACCATTAATTACATTTATTAATAAGACAATATCAATAGAAATAAGCATGATCTTGGAAGTTAAAAGTCTGAATACAAATTCTCACTTATTACTAGACAAAACAGTGCACCGTCAAAAAGTGGCTGTCGCTGCCATTGTCTTCTGGCTATAATATTATTTTCATGCTATTTTTGCTTGGTGCTTTTGGGAGTAGTTACCACATTCAAATACTAAAATGCATAGCTCCACACACTGAAAATTTAAAAAGTACTGGGTGGTGAGGGTTTCTATCCATTGTTATAAAAATATTATTTGGCATCTTCTAAACTCTATGTACTTTTTTGGATTTGTAGTTGGAATAAATAGTTGTTAGGGTAAAAGCCTTTTCAAAGCCAAATAGTACTTCAAAGGTTTGAGCCCCAACTGCAATTTCTATACCACACTTTATGTAACATGAAATGTAAGTTTCCAGACACTGAGCACATCAAGTGAACATCAAAATGTACCAGCAAACACCTTAAGCTTTAAAATGTAAAACAGATGCTGAAAAATAAAGCACTGATAAACCATGGCTCTCACTGGAAAAAGAAGAAAAAAAAACAGTGAAAGTAATGGCCTGTTGTGTAGTATTAACATGTTATCTCCTTTCAGATTTGCTGCTACAGAAGCAACTGATGTGGAAGCATAAGCAAGATGGGCATTAACAGACCTCACATCCTAAAATTTATCAATTACTTGATGCTGTTCACCTTGGTTAAGCTATTACAAGTGATAAGAAAATAACCTCACGGGCTATATTTTAAAGGTTAAGTTTTTGCTTCTTTCACTTTACAACTATTTTTCTTACCTTCTCCACAAATCCATGTGCTGAGGCACAAGGGGAAACTATGAATTTGCAGGAAATATCAGACTTTGGAACAATGTAAATATAAACACACAAATAGCTAAATGGACAGATTAAAGAATATAGTGAAGACAAGAAATTCCTAATGGGGCTATTAGCATCTCTAATGCTAAGTCACTGACTATCGAAAGAAAATCTTTCAATTTACTCAACAGTAGCATTCAGGTAAACCTGATTCAAGTGCTGAAATATTACCTGTTAATTCTTTGAGATAAGGCAATGAATTATAAGCCTTCACTAATGAAATAGTCCATATTAATTCATAGCAAGCAACAATCAACAAACAAAAATTCTACAGTATTAGAAATTCCAGCACATTTATTGATCCCTTCACTAAACTCTATATAACCTTAAGCAAGTAGCTAAGTTTTGTTGGGCCACAAACCAAATTTGTAAAATAGTGGGTTAAAGCAGATGATTTCTTCCAGTTCTAAGCATGTAACTCTACAATTTACATCAGAAAATAAAACGTAAAGAAAACATACTAAATCTTAAGTGTTTAAATTTTAGAAAGGAAGGCAAATGTTAACTTGGAAGGGTAAACAGAATTTCCTTTTTTAAAAATGCATGCTGAATCTTAAAAGTTTACTTTTATTGTCATTCTATTCCAATTTAGCAAGACTTCTCAATAGAATTTCAGGTTTGTCAGGTATACAAATGATGATTTACCCCCAAGTGTGAGGTTTGGGGAAGTGTTTTGATACTGTGGTAGCAGAGTGGCAATCATTTGCTCCTAGAATCAAAAGCCATCACGCTGCTTTAAGAAATGATTCTAAATGGGATTTTCCCAAAACCTAGTTCAACAAGAAAGAGTCTTAGAGCACAGACCATTATGGTTTCCAATCTACCAAGGTTCAAGACATATACATCCAAACTCACAGACACTTGCTCAACAATCTCTGTGTTTTTTAGATTAGTCTACTTTTGATTGGGAGGGGGGAGCTGAATTTCAAGAAAATTAACCCATGCTTTCATACATATTTTCTATCTTAGTCCAATGTTAAAATCCTTCATATCCTAATATTTTATCAAACAATACAGTTAACATAGGATTAAAATAGCAGGCCCATCTAATCATATCAGCCTTGCTATGCTATTAAAACTCAGCTGTTTCTGTAAATATGTCTCCAAATCAATTCTGACTTTTAGACCTGATTCTCCCTGTTAGCCTAATTTATTTCTACTTTCCCCATTATTCTAGTCAAATGAACATCCTTTAAGTAAATGCAATCTTTTGATTTCTAACTACTTCCACCTCCTTTTATGAAGGAAATAGTTATTCTGTATCTGACAAGTTCTTTTGCTTCAAAGACCTATTTGAAGAAACTTTTTCACACATTATGAAGCTTCAGCTGTCTCAGAAGCATTTTACTGGAGAAAACAAGCAAAATGAAAAGCAACTTCCTTTGAGATTATTACAATAAATAAAAGTTTTAACTCAGAGTTTTTCCTCTATATCTTAAAGTCAAGTAACAGCATATGCAAGTACATTATTAGATGGACTTTGAGAATTACACATTTCTTTCCGATGTATGAACTTTTCATTTTTCTGTGCTACAGTCTAAGATAATCTATAGCTTCAAAGACTCTGCAGCACATTAATTAGTTCTCTATCCATATCACACTCTTCTGCTATGTAAGTATTATTAGCATTTTCCCTAAAGCAAACTCTACTATTTTATGCAATGTGTGCATTCATGAGGAGGGTGATGGTTAGATGGTTGTGTTTAATGTACCATCTCGAACCAATCTGAAGAAACTCAATAATAAAATCTCAATAATAATGGTCACTTAAGGTAAAGCCTTGGAGTCATACACAAGACTGATTCTAAACTAAACATTAGAAGAAAATAATGGTTCCCAAACCGTTTTAAATAATGACTAATACTTACCAGGAAAAGCATCAAAAACAATTCTGTCTCCAGGAACAGACCCATTAGGAGGTGCCAAGATTTCAACCTTCTCAGGTGAACTAGCACACATTACCATTGCTTGAGATACTACTCCCCTCATCTTTGCAGGTTTCAGATTACATAGTAAAATCACCATCCGATTTTGCATCTGTGTGAAACATAAATTGGTGATTAAAGATGTACAGAGATTTAGATTATCATACCTAGAATACATTAAGGTACATCTAATATGCTAAATATAAAATGTTCTATTTTTGTAGATGTATCTTTGCCTCTGTGTCCAAAATCTTTTACTGTTGTTATGAAGTTATACAAAAACATGAAAAAAAAAATTCCACAAACTGACAGCACATTATAGTTAAAAGGAGCAGAGCCAAGACTTTTCAGTTAAATAAGTTTTAGACTGAAACAGATTTGGTTTTGAATTTAGCTGCCATGTACTAGCAATGAGATTATATGAAGTTGAATTGTTTTTCTTCACAAAATGAGGAAAATGATATCAAATTTAAAAAGCCAACTCTTGGGTTAAATTGTAACATGTATGTAAAGCATTTAGCTTAGTGTTAGCACTAAAATAAATGAACAATCCTTTTTCTCCATACATTTCCAATACTATGCAAGATCCATTTCTTAGTTTAGAAATGACTCTTGGGACTCTATCACTCTTGGGAAGGTGCGGAGTAGGAGGATCCTGAGCTTACCTAGTCCCATGGACACACCAATGAAATAACTACATCTGTTGCAACCAACTGAAAACCTGAAGACTGACAGAATAGATCGTCCACAGCTAGAGAGAAGACAACATTGAAAAGGACAGACAGAGCGGAGACACAGTCAGGAACCCTGGCAAATAACCACAAACAGGAGGGATATCACAATCACAGAGGAGTGAGGGTGTCAGATGGACCCAAACTGGGAAAATGAGTCTTCATAACAACTGACTTTGAAAATCAGCAGGGCTAAACTGGGAAAACCAGGGGGTGACAGTAAATCGAGTCTCCACATTAAAAGAACCATTACTAGACACAGTGCAAAAGCAGCAGTTTGGAAAGTGCTTGAGGTATACGTGAAGGAGATTTATTGACTAATCTTAGGATGTGCTAGAGACGCAGAGATCTACAAGAAATATCTCTGGGAAAGAAAGGAGTGCTAGAAGACGTCATTTTTCTTGCCCTCTGCGCCCTAGATGGTCTGAAGCTTGCAGGAGCCAATACTATCCCTCTTCATCTAACTTACCAACACCACACGCCCCCCACCCCAGCATTCCCTGCAGCCAAGTACCCTAATCTACCTGCATCAGGAAATGCCCTTCCAAAGTAGATCCTACACAGTAGGCAGGCAGGGCTTAGACCATTCCAAAGTGACCAGTGCCCTGAAAAGAAGGGGAGATATCCCTACACACCAGCATAACCACAATTCCTGCAAGAAGGCCTCTTTGTAGGCTGTGCGGGGAGCAAGCTTTGCCCTTCATATGCCTGTAGCTGTTGCAGAGGCTAACTGCAAACAGCTAAGATGAGTGCTGGCCCACCACTGAGCTCACAAGCCCCTTAACAGCACTGGAAGTAAACCCTGCCCAGTCAGGAACAGGCATCAAAGAAAGTCATTCTAGCCATAAGCATATCCTCAGCCAGAGCAATCCTGAAAAAGAACAAAACTGTAGGTATCATAATCCCAGATTTCAAGATACACTACAAAGCTGTAGTAATCAAAACAGTGTCTTCTTCATATAAAAACAGACATATAGATCAATGGAATAGAGAGCCCAGAAAATCTATGACAAAGGAGGCCAGAATATATAATGGGAAAAAGAGTTTTTTTTTCAATATTTGGTGCTGGGAACATGCAAAAGAATGAAACTGGACCACTATCTTATACCATACACAAAAATAAACTCAAATGGATTAAAGACCTAACTCTAAGACCCAAAACCATAAAAGCAGTAATTTCTTTGACACAGGCCATAGAAACATTTTTCTAGATAATGTCTCCTCAGGCAAGGGAAACAAAAGCAAAATTAAACTACTGGGACTATACCGAAATAAAAAGCTTTTGCACAACAAAGGAAACCATCATCAAAACAAAAAGACAATCTACCGAATGGGAGAAGACATTTGCAAATGATATATCCCATAAGGGATTAATACCAAAATATATAAAGAACTTATACAATTCAACACGAAAAAAACCCCCACAAACAATCCAATTAAAAATGGGCAGAGGGTCTGAGTAGATATTTTTCCAAAGAAGACAAACAGATGGCCAACAGATACATGAAAAAAATGCTCACATCACTATTCATTGGGGAAATACAAATCAAAACCACAATGAGATATCACCTCACACCAAGCAGAATTGCTACAACAAAAAGCCAAGAAATAAGTGTTGGCAAGCATGTGGAGAAAAAAGAACTCTCACGCAGTGTTGATGGAAATGTAAATAAACCAATGCAACCACTGTGGAAACCAGTATGGAGGTTCCTCAAAAAATTGAAAATAGAAATACCATATGATACAATAATTCTACCACTGGGTATTTACCCAAAGAAAATGAAAACCCTAATTCAAAAAAGATATATGCACCTCTGTATTTGCCGCAGATAGATGAATGGATAAAGGTGAGTGTGTGTGTGTGTGTGTGTGTAATGTACATAATGTAAATATAGATATAATGAAATATTACTTGGCCACAAAAGAGAATGAAATCTTGCCATGTGAGACAACATGGATGGACCCAGAGGGTATTATGCTAAGTGAAATATGTCAGAGAAAGAAATCCTGTTATGATTTTACTTACATGTAGGATCTAAAACACAAAAGAAATAAACAACAGCCTCTTAAATACAGAGAACAAACTTGTAGTCAGAAGGGAAGTGGATGGGAGGATGGGCAAAACAAGTTAAGGGGATTAAGAGGTGCAAGCTTTCAGTTATCAAATAAATAAATCATGGAGATGAAGAGTACAGCATAGGGAATACAGTCAATATTTTAGTAATTTTGCATGGTGACTACACTTATTGTGGTGAGCACTGAGTATTGCACAGAAATGTTAAATCACTGAAACAACTGTACACCTGAAATTAATTTAACATTGCAAGTCAGACTTCAGTAACAAATATAAAAAAAAATATTGCTGATCATTTAACTACTCAAGCATCATGTACACTGCAATTAACATTTAGGGCTATTTCTACAATTTGTTATAGAAGTGAATAAAGATTTCTTTAATCTTCAAAAGTTGAAGTGTCTTAATTTTTTTTCCCCAATTAGCAAAAATAAGGAACACAACTGTTTATATTCTTTCAACAGGCTTAAAATAAAATGGCATACAAGAGAACTATCACTGCAGGGGAAGAGAAAAGGCACATTCTAAATAAAAGATGGTTTTATAAACAAATGTTATGGCAAATTTATTGATTCTATGATTTAAAATAATAACAATAAAAAAACAAAATAATAACAATAATAATAATAATAGGCCTAAGACTCAAATGCAAGAGGCCCCCTTTTCAGATGTCTTCATGAATAACATCTTCTTCATACAAATAATTTAAATTGCCACTTTAGGAAAAAACAGTTATAGCAAATTTGTATAAGAAAAAACAAAAGGGTTAGCTATATGCAATTGTTAAGGCATCAGATGATACCCATGGACCTTTACCTTGGAAAAATACACAAATCTACAGAGTATAGTATGCAATTTGTGGGGGCAAAGTCCTCCTGCTTTATAGAATGTTTAATATTACTGCCTTGATAGGTTAGATACAGATGTGTATATAAATAGATTTGCTTAAGGCTATGAATGACAGCTTTTGGAAGAGAAGATACTGTCTGCAACTTATGGGAACAAAAAAGATGAGGCCTAAAGGAGGAGAAGTTTTTCCAATTTGAGCTGGCTCAAGATCAATTGCTTCTTTTATCCAGGGCTTCTTATGAACCTAACTTCATAAGTAGTTATGAAGAAGTCCTAGTCCTACACAAAATGCATGTTAAACAGAAAAAAAAAAAAAAGCACACACATGAACCAAGTTTATCTTTTTTTTATAGATAAGAAAAACTTCTTCACAAATCTCATTTCCATTTTTCTCCCCTCAACAGAGCAGCCAGATGATCCTATTAATATATGAGGCAGATCACATTTCTCCTTAGCTCAACAGTTTTCCAACGGCTTTCATCTCACTCAGAATAAAAGCTAGTCTTTACAGTGATCTATAAGATACTATGTCATTTGGCATCCTTATTTCTGATTTCATATTGCATGACATTCCCCCTTATTTACTCTGCTATGACACTGCTTCCTGCTGTTCTTTGAACATGCCAGGCATATATCCGACTTAGACCTGCCTGAAATACTCTTCTACCAGAGACACAGGACCTTTCTTCATTTTCTTAGACCTTTCTTTATTACACCTTAAAGTCACTTTCTTTATGATGCCTTCCCTAACCACTTTATACAAAACGACATCATCCTAACTCCAACAACTCCTAGATTCTTTCTTTTTCTTTTAATACTTACCACTATTTAATATACTATGTATCATGATCTTCTGACTCCCCCATAGAGTTGTGAGCTTCACAAAGGCAGGATTTTTTTTTTTTTCCTAAACAAATCTATCTACCTACCTACCTATCTATCATTTTAATTCACTGCTACATCCCTTGTCTAGAATAGTGCCTGGTATACTGCAGGTGTCCAATAAATACTTGCATCTGAAAGTATGAATGAATGAATGAATGAATGTATGTAGGGATTTATCCCCACAAAGCCAATAAGCAACAGAATTGGCAATGAACAAAGAAGAACTATTTTAATGTTAAAGTCTACAGCCTTTGCAGTATCTCCAAAGCACCACGGAGTAGAGGAAAGAGATAACTCCAAATTACTGTAGATGTCTTGAAAGACCAATTAAAATCATTACTGCCTAATTTTTTCCACCGTCATTGGAAATACATGTGTGTCTGTCTATACACACATACACACACATATTTTAAATACCTAAGTAACAACAAAATACAAAACATCCAGTTTTTAACAAATAAAGAAATACCATTAAAAATTATAAGTTTAAGCTCCATAATGCCCTCTCCTCTTTTTACTTCAAGTATGAAAATATTTCTTGAGTTATAAGGAAAAAAAAAAAAAAACGACGATGACGACTTGTTCTTACTCTTACTTTTTCATTTATTTATTTATTTATTTATTTTTAAAGATTTTTTTATTTGATAGAGAGGCATGGCTAGAGAGGGAACACAAGCAGGGGAAGGGGGAGAGGGAGAAGCAGGCTTCCCGCTGGGCAGGGAGCCCGATGCGGGGCTCGATCCCAGGACCCTGGGATCATGACCTGAGCCGAAGGCAGACGCTTAACGACTGAGCCACCCAGGCGCCCCTACTCTTTTTAGATTGATGCTTTCTGGGTTTATATAACAGTGATTTAAAAAAAATCAAGGAGTAATAAAATTCCATGACAGAACAATGAGGATAAAAATATTTATACTGTATTACACATAAAATAGCAAACTAAAAACATTTTAAAAACTGAGAAAAAATAATGCATCTTTCTTCTTTCTACCTTCATGAATTTGATCCCAACTTACAATGCTACTGTAAGTTTTGGTAGTTTTAATGTAATTTTTTGGTGAAATTTATTTTATTAAAATTAATGAAATGAACTAATCAATACTGGCTCACCTAATACAAAATTATATGGAAAAACATCAAGAAAAAGTGACGTCTATGCCAAAGTAATTTAAACTGTACAGATTACCTGTTCAAGAGGAACATGATTCACCAGGCCACTGACAACTGTTCTTGGGGCTGTTTCTCCAACATCTACTTCTTCCACATATAAAGAATCTGCATCAGGGTGTTTTCTGGCCGTGATGATACAACCAACTCGAAGATCCAGATGAGAAACATCTACTGGCTTAGAGTCAGCACTTCCTGCTACTGACTGCTGTTTTTTCTCCTTTTTCTCTCCTAAAAAATATTTATGAATGGTTAAACATCAGAAGTAAAACAAAAACAAGATAAACTATAAAAAACTCCCTAACATCGATACTGATGAGCTTTAAAAGAAACTGTTTATCTTCTACTGTCACTTAAATAATAACAAAGGAAAGAATTATTCAAGTCATAACATCTCGAACCCTATTTTGGCTGTTTCTCTGTTGAATAACTGTCTAAATCTCTAGCTAAAGACAGAGTAAAAGTTGGTAAGCTATGTTCATTCATTTACATATTGTCTATGGATGCTGGCAGGGTAGTTGTGACAATGACTTTATGGTCTGCAAAACTTAAGATATTTACTGAAAGGACCTTTATTGAGAAAGTCTGCCTTTCCCCAAAACAGAGCTGGAGAAAATCCTTTAAAATTTTTACTGTGACTCTTTAGAAAGGGAAAAATCCTTTATTTAGGAAGAACACCACAATCAGTACCAGCTAAGAGGATGAACTACAACCAAATACAATTTCACTGATAAAATGTTTCTCTCTTCAGTTAAACACACCAATAAGTATACAACAAATTTCTCTACTTCTTGTATTTCTCGGAAGACTTATTAGGGCTTTAGGTTTATCCACAGCAACTATCTGAGCAAGAGAGAACACGTTATTCTGATTTTTCTTTTTTAAGATTTTATTTGAGAGAGAGAGAGCACACACACAGAGCCGGGGGGAGGAGCAGAGGGAGAAGCAGACTCCCGTGCTGAGCAGCGAGCCTAATGTGGGGCGACGTGGGGTTTGATCCCAGGACTGTGAGGTCACGACCTGAGCCGAAGGCAGATGCTTAACCGAATGAGCCACCCAGGCGCCCCTATTCTGATTATGTTTCAAAAATCCTCCTCTTATTTGTATGTCGATAATCTAACTCTCATAGCATTTGATTACTTTGGCCACTGAGTGGAAATGCAACCTGTAAAGAGTTCATAGTCCTTAAGTTTACATTAAGCTTCTCTAGCAGAAAAAAGTGTAAAACAAAATAAAAACTTATTTACCTGCAATCTACAGGGTAGAGATAAGCACACAGTTGTGACTTAGAAGCACTCCTTTTCAACTATACCTTACCTTTATTTAATCTTTGAACAAATATTTACTGAGATCTAAGGCACTGAAAATCTCTTTTAAGGAAGACAGATATACATAATGAATATGTGACAAACATTACATACACAAAGAAATATAGGAACACAGAGATGAATATTTCTGCCTGGAGCGGGAAAGAATGATTTTGTGTAAGGACATTCACAATTTATACAAAGACAGTTTACAAAAGAAGAGGTAGAGCTAGCTCAAAATAATGGGCAATTTTTAATCTACTTAAATTTTTAAAAATTCCACTTTCCATGTAAAATATTAGCAGACTTTTTAACGGTAAAAACCCAAATGGTATAGAAATAAATATACAAAATTACTAGAAGAAAATACACCAAAAATCTTAAGAGCAGTTACCTTTGAGTGATAATCTATGTATTTGATATAATGCAATATAACATTACATCTGTATATCAACCTGTATTTTTAACTTTAATCTACTTCCTAGGTATTTGAAATACTTTTATCAGGAATCCACATTCCAGAGGTGACTGCAAATATCCAAATCTCTACCAAGAACTTAGTCATCATAAAAGACTTTAAGAATGTCTCATTAAAAAATGAGTGATGCTCACATGTGGCAGTCTACAAAGCCTGTATAGTAACCACAGCCTCTGCATGAACAGAATTTTGGAATCTGGCAATTCTAGCAGCCAAAGGCCAGTGGAACAGCCCTGTATTCCAGCACTGTCCAATATGGTAGCTGCCAACCACACACAGCTGTTGACATTTAAATTTAAAATAGTAAAAAATTCAGTTCCTTAGTTATACTAGATACATTTAAAATGTTCAGTAGCAATGCGTGACTACAGGTTACTATGTTGGATAATGCAGTTATACAGCACTTCCATTATCACAGAAAAGTACCACTGGACAGAGGCATTCTAGACAAAGAGCTCCATTTGGAAGAGGAGCCTCTTCCTCCCACAAAGGAAGTCTCCGCTGTCTCATTTGACTAGAAGACTGACTAATCCCGTAGTCACAAATGCAATATATCTTCCTTTGGGTATGAACTTCATCCTACTTAGAACAGGCTTGTCTGATTGTTTTGTGCCTACTTCTCAATAAATTTATAAAGTGAAAGAATTAGTTTGACTTGCTTTCATTGTAACCATACCACCTAGTGGTGAAGTTATGTAGAAGATGTACAACCCCTATCTACTTCTAAGAAGAGTTACCGATACTTACTAAAAGGAACTGACAAGTGTTAGATGCTAAACTGGCTTAGGTTAATTCACAAATTCCTCAGCCATTTTATATTTTCCAAAAACTCTTAAGTGAGTATAAGTGTTATGAGAGGTGTGTACAATGAATTATAAAAGCACTTTTTTTAGACATACTTGGAAAAATGAAGTCTACAAAGGAGTAAAGGAGACTAGGTAAAAAAGGAGTCAGATTTATGGTTAGAATAGCTTCAGCAGCAAGTTAAGGATAAATTAGAAAAGACGAGACTTTAACATTAATTCAAATGACAGATCATGAGAACTTGAACAAAGGTAGCACCAAACAAACTGGAGCCACGGAGCTGGGTTCTAGATACGTTTTGGTGGTAGGAATTATATGTTTTGGTGGTCAATTAGGTATGCAAATTGAGGGAGGACAACAGGGTGAGGTTAACTACAAGATTTCTAGTCGGGCTGTCTAAATGGATGGTGATATACTTCCTACTCCAGTTTTTATGGGTTCCTAAAACCTTTACAACCCCATGCCTTAGTTCAGACATTATCCCTTGACTAGACTATCCCTTTCCTATTGTCACAACTATTTCCAAGCTAACTTTCTACCTGTGACCTCTCTGAAATTGAATATACACTAAAGTTTAGTCATACCAAACTACATATGGGCCCCTATGCTTAATCTCTACTTTCTATGTTTTTAGTTATGTTAAAACATACTCTACCTCAAATACCACATTCTTATCCTATTGACCTGGTCAATCTTCACACATCGTTTAGGTCCCGTTTCTATGTTCCAATATCATACTGTTTATTCTAGTTCATAAAGGTTTCAATTTTCTTTCTGACACCACTATTATTATCAAAAATGTTGACATCTGATAAACCAGTCAAGAACCAAATAACCTTAAAGATTAAAAATACCTTTCACTTCAATTTTCTCTTTCATCTTTTCTTCCGCTCCTCCTCCTATCTGTTCTTTGGCACCAGAAGTTATAGTTGTTATTGGTCTAGACTGTATCACATTTTCAGAAACTGTGGAATTAGCTTGCAGCAGAGTACCAGATGGAAATGGTATTTGTTTCACTGATACAAAAAATAAAATAAAGTCATTACGAGCTCTTTTTAAAAGAAAAATTCACTGTATATGATTATCAAGTCTCTACTATCTGAGATTATAAAAAGCTGTCAAGAAATTAAGTACATTTTAACCATGATAAAAGTTAAATAAATGATTCTCATTTAATCACTAATAACAGAAAATTATGGACAACAATAATAACTAGTACTTATTATGTACTATGTCCCACTTTTCGAAATGCTTTACATGAATTAACTTTTGTAATTCTCATAAATACCCTAAAAATAGTTAAGTTCTATTCATATCCCCATTTACAGATGATCAACATGAGCCATAAGGAAGTTAAAAAACTGGCCCATCACACACACAGTGAGTAGGAAATTAAGAATTTATACTCAAGCAGTCTGTCTTGGGACACTATCCTCTCATGGTTTGGCAAGATGGCATGTTTTTCACTCAGGTTTTCTTTTATATTATTGAACAATCAACTGGGAAAGTGTTTTAATAACAGTCATTTCAATATCAGAATTAATGGAGAGACGTGTCCATAATTCTATTTCAAAAAACAACTTTTTAAGGAAGAAAATTCCTTCTGCAATGTTAAAAACACTCTCACAAGCCTAGTGAATATGGAAAAACATAATCTTGTGAGGGATTTTGATGTGGCTTAAATTCTGGCCAATATTCAGATCACTTTTCTCAGGTATTTTTAAGTTCCCTAGAGGCTCTTGCTTCTAGTAATGTGACACTCCATCTACCCTTGTGTAATGTTTCACCATTTGACAGGATGCAATACATTAATTCAAACTGTTAATATGCTTTAGCATTTCATTAATAAGATCAAAGTTTAAAATGTTCCAGGGTAATCTTTTAGAACTGGTAAAATGGAAAGCAGTTTTATATTGCTAATATTTTAACTATTTATTTAATTCTGTACCTGTATTCTAAATCTCATTGTCTTGGAAAAGATCAGATTGACAATGTTCTCTTTAGTTGATAACTGTAAGCACACATTATATTGAATTTTCCTTACTTTTGTTTAGCTCACTAAGGGTGGAGGTCATATTATAGCATTCAAAAAAATTTACTCACTGACAGGATAATTCTAAAGGAAGTAGTAAGAGAGACTTTATACTTGGGCCTCCTTAACTCACCTAGGAAGGATTTTGTATAATAGAATCAAATGCCTTTCTGTATGGTACTTTGAAATTGTAATAGAGCTATTATTATCACTGTTTTATAATGATGTAAATTTATCTAGTCCCCTTTAAAATAATTCAATAAAATTTTAAATTTTATTTACAACATAACTGAAATGATAATTACCTGCTGAGTTGATTAACTTAAAATTATGATTTCAGGCAAATTATACCTGTAGGCTTCAATTCCCTCATGTATAAAACAAGGACATTTGTGTACACAAAATTTTAAGGATAAAACACATAATGTATGTGAAGCACTTGGCACACAGTGCCTGGCAAATAGTAAAACATAATGTCAGCTAAATATTCTTACAGCTTATTTTCAATAATAGGGAACAGTGATGATCAAGTTGAAGTATGTAGCACAGAGATTAAAATCATAGTTTGTTTGTTTTTTTTAATTTAAGTATAGTTAACATATAGCTATATTAGTTTCAGGCATACAATAGGATTTCCCTGATGAGGTAAGAATATACTGTAGAAAAAAGTCTTCAACAAATGGTGTTGGGAAAACCGGACAGCTACATGCAAAAGAATGAAACTGGACCACTTCCTTACACAATACACAAAAATTAACTCAAAATGGATTAAAGACCTAAATGTGAGACCTGAAACCATAAAATTCCTAGAAGAAAACACAGGCAGTAATTTGACATTGGCTACAGCAACATTTTTCTAAGTATATCTCCTGAGGAAAGGGAAACAAAAATAAAACTAAACTGATAGGACTACACCAGAATAAAAAGCTTTTGTACAGCAAGGAAACCATCGACAAAATAAAAAGGCAACCAACTGAATGAGAAGGTATTTGCAAATGGTATATCTGTTAAGGCCTTAATATTCAAAATATATACAGAACTTTTACAATTCAACACCAAAAATCATCATCGTCATCATCATCCAATGAAATCAGGCACAGGACCTGAAGAGACATTTTTCTAAAGACATACAGATGGCCAACAAATACATGAAAACATGCTCAACATCACTATAAGCACAGGCGTTTGCACCCCGGGTCTGCACTTTTTACATGAGTTCAGGCAAGATCATTTGTCTTTTCTAAGTCTATTTTCTCTTCTGTAGAGGAGGTACATTGAACAAGAAGGACTGCTGTGGGGATGAAGTGAGAAATCAAGCACAATACCTAATTTAACAATTAATGATACAATTATTATTATAAATCAAAACAACCTATCATTTATATATTTACCTCCATTTTGAATTTCTGCCTGAATTAGCTCTTGTTTCAATTCTTCAATTTCTTTCTTTAATTTAGCATTTTCAACTCGAAGTTTCTTCTCTTCTCTTAAAGTTGCCTGCAAAACTAGGATTAAGAAAATCCAGGTAAGATACAGCCATGTTTTCTAAGAGATTTCTTATGAACACTACCTGATAAGAGCACAGCAGTATAAACATAACTAGGATAATACCAGTAACTAAATGTTTGCCAGTTCCTTTATGTCAGGAATTGGCAAACATTAATATTTATTAGAATAAAATGATATTTAACATAAAGAAAAAGCAAGAAAACCTGTGAAATAATAACGGGACACAAAAATTTTGTTTATGAAGCATTTCCTGGCTTCCATAAAGATGCTAATGACAACTTAAGAACTGAACTCAAAGCGTCAACCATAGATAAACTGTCAAAATGAGGCAAGTATTAGACACGTTATTTTTTTCCTTTAAATTTTTTATTGTTATGTAAATCACCATACATTACATCATGAGTTTTTGATGTAGTGTTCCATGATTCATTGTTTGTGCATAACACCCAGTGCTCCATGCAGAACGTGCCCTCTTCAATACCCATCACCAGGCTAACCCATCCCCCCACCCCCCTCCCCTCTAGAACCCTCAGTTTGTTTCTCAGAGTCCATAGTCTCTCATGGTTCGTCTCCCCCTCCGATTTCCCCTCCTTCATTTTTCCCCTCCTGCTTTTTTTTTTTCTTAACATATATTGCATTATTTCAGAGGTACAGATCTGTGATTCTACAGTCTTGCACAACTCACAGCGCTCACCATAGCACATACCCTCCCCAGTGTCTATCACCCAGCCACCCCTTCCCTCCCACCCCCCACCACTCCAGCAACCCTCAGTTTGTTTCCTGAGATTAAGAATTCCTCTCATCAGTGAGGTCATATGATACATGTCTTTCATTATTTTTTTAAAGCCAGAGATCTAATGATAGCAAACCATAAAAAAACTCATTTCTTTCTTTTTAATCATTACCTTGTAAAAGTACCTGAATAATCTTTTACTCCTAATGTTTCAGACATTGAGCTAGTCGAACATTCAATGAGTGAAATAGCTTCAAAGATTTCCTCAAGATATGTATGCTAAAGGTGAGCAATAGGGTACACAAAAGAATAAAAGAAAAACAATGATTCTCAGTGGGGTTGGTACGGCTCCCTAGGTAGGATTTTCAAAATCTGTGGGAGTTATTTTTGGTTGTCACAAATAATAGGAGTCATTCTGGGCATTTACTGGGCAGGAGTCAGGAATGTCAGATGTCCTGAAATATGCTAGATATACCTGTAAAATGAAGAGCTGTCTCACATTCTGCAGAATTTTCCAGTAACCCACTGTACATTTGTATAGGTGAAAATACTGTTAATTATCTGAGCCTCGACACTATTTTTTATATATAAACACAAAGTATTCTTACATATTTTCATTACACCCTGAATTTTCTATAAATCAAATATCTTATAAATCGAGAGTAGATTGTACTTTGTTTTGTTCACAGCTTTCCTTAATTCATCATTCTGAATAAACAAAAAACATACCTGAAAGCTGTTTTTGGTATCAGAGTTGCCCACATAAAGGCAAACTAAATACAAACTCATACCAATTAGCATTATATCTATTGCATTCTTGGTGATTCCATGTATGGGAACCAGACATCATAGGACTCTCATATGTCTGGTAGGACAGTCCTGCCTAAGTATTTACTCACTAAAATACACATTTTCATTATTACTACAATTTATATATTACATTCTTCTTAATTTTCCTCTATCTTATATACACGGTTAACATGTTTTGAAATTATGTGTATAGGCAGGTTATTTTATCTAAGAAATATTTTCTTTACAGGGTATTAAGAGATTTTTACAAAATATTTATTGTAACATAGGAACAATGGGACTGAGAACCATCCAGGATAGGCTACCAAAAAATAATAAAGATGAAGAATAAATATGCAGTAAGTGTAGAAGGGTTCCTTTTTTTTTTTTGATTAGCAAAATTGAAATGCTAGTCAAGCTAATAGCCACCCATATGAGAAAAAAATTCATACAGAAGCACTGATCATCTCTAATCTTTATCTTACTAATGGAAAAAAAAATTAAAAATTTTAAGAAAAATAACAAGAAATCCTTTACGAATTTAAAGATTTTATTTATTTATTTGAGAGAGAGAATGAGAGAGAGAGAGCACAAGAGGGAAGAGGGTCGGAGAGAGAAGCAGACTCCCTGCTGAGCAGGGAGCCTGATGTGGGACTCAATCCCGGGACTCCAGGATCATGACCTGAGCCAAAGGCAGTCGCCCAACCAACTGAGCCACCCAGGCGCCCTCCTTTACGAATTTAAAGAAAAAAATGTTTACAAAACATTATAAAAAAGGAATAATTAAAACAGTATTTTAAAATTAAGAAAAGAGAATAAAGAAAAAATATTCTGAAGAGTAACTGTATGATTCTGTAACCATTCACAATCTTATGCAGCAAAGAAAAGCATTTATTTCTATTAGTTATTCTAAAAGACTTGGGAATTTTCATCATATCATTAACATTGGTTATTGAGAAATAAAAAATATATTTAAACAAAAATCAACCTAAATCCTAAAAGCAGAAATTCAGATTTGATATTTTTGTATATATCATAGCAATTCCTAGGTAAAACTTAAAGACGTATTGGAAAAAATGTAAAAATCATTTCAGAAAAATGCTTTAAGTAGAGGGTAATATAAGTATATATTCTTAGAGGAGATAAATTTGAGTTCATATTTGATTTTACCTAATTTTCTTCATTTTAATCTTTAATTCTATATGAACTTAGTTTAAACATTAATTTTCCTTTAGCCCTCTTAAAATAATACATTGTTTTCTCTACATTACATTCACTATATACCAATTCTAATTTATCTCAATTCCAGAATATTATTTCACTCAAAATTAAAATAGTAAAGGAATCTAAAAGTTACCATCAAGATGATGAAGTATATTTATGGGGTAAACACAGTTTTTGTGCTCTTGTCCATATAGGAATTCATTTTAAGTATCTCCTCCAAAAATGCAAAATCTCTTACTTGCTTTCTCCTTAAGAAGAGCAACTTGCTGCTTTAAATAGTCAATAATTTGATCTGCTTCTGTACCCTTCTGTTCCAGTCTCTTCAGAACAGCACCATTAGTTGCCATTTTTGCCAAGAAACGGCAGAAAATCCTAAGTGAAAAAATAAAAAGTGGCAAATTACACTATAGAAGGAATAAATTTATTGTGCCACAACACTATGAGCAAGCAGTCTGAAAGGAAAAATATCTTCTAACAAATCAATACACTAGAAAAACACTTTTCCGATATAGAGCAACAAACCAAACAGCAGAAATGTTAAACAATTAATGCCTCAATATGTTTGGAAGAAGCAATCAATTTTTTTCCCTATATGCAAAAAAGATGCTATTTAACCACATTTTAGGTTGGAAAGTTTTAAAGAAAGCTTTAAAATATGTATGGCAGAGTATTATGATGCAAAACAGGAATACTAAAAGAAAAGAATAACAACAATAACCTTAACTAAGCTTGAGTGCCACCCCTGTGTTCTAAAGTTAAGAATTGCTGAATTCTTAGTGTTTATTTTTTGTATATTGGATATTTCTACTGTTTATTTAACTATTCTGTTTATTTAACTACGTACAATTTTAAGAAGGAACATGTGAATTAAGGACAAAAAGATCAATTAGGAATATATGAATATTAATGACATGCCTACTCAGAAACAACGTCAGCATATATACTATGACCCCGTAAAAGAAAATTATTGTAATTTTAATTTTATAATTCATAGAAATTAGAAAACATCCTGTCAGTGTGCAGAAAAATGCATATAAGCAAATATTCTGAGATTAACTCATAATATTAAAGTTTAAACTGCTGAATATTAAGACAAATAGTCACACTGACGAAAAACAAGATTAATCATTAATAATACTACAAACTTTTTACCTGATTAACTTCAATTTATAATATAAAGCATAACAATGACATAAGCATTGCTGAAGTAATTCTGATTTTAGATAATAAAATGGTTAAATTTTTTGATAAAGGAAAAAATTGGCTAAAATGAACAAATAATACAAGATTGTTTGAAAATTTCATATTATGCAATATCCATGCTATATAAAGAACATTGTGAAATGTTTACCTTTTTATAAAAAGAGAACCAATTCTCAAAAAACTTTATGCTAAAATTGACAATTTATAATACAGAACCACCAAAAAATAAAAACCTGATAAAAATAAAGTTGTTAGTAAGTGAAGAAAATATAAATGAGGATAATCTGAAAAAGTCATAGTAAACTCCTAATTTTCTATACGGACTATTATTTAACAATTAAAAAAAATACAGAGCAAACAAATAAAAAGGTACAAAAATTGAAAATGAAGATATCAACTTTAAATTCAGCCAATTTTTAAACATGAACACAGAATATTCTGTTGCTTTTCCTCAAATGTTGTTCTAGAATTTTAGAGAATAGTACAAATAAACAGATGAAGAAGGTTAAAGTAAAAAAAAGCCATGTTCTTCTGGACTTTTAACATCCTCCTTAGTAAGCATTCTTTTAGTTTAAGGCCTTTCTATTTTAGTCTAACATAATAATCAAATATATTCAATAGGTGAAAATAGCTATCCCAAGAAAATTAAGGAGTATTTGATTTAGCATACTTTGTTAGCTTTTACTTTTGTAGCAAAGAAAAATTTAATGAGTTAAATGTGACCTTAGTGATATGCTTTAGAAAAATCCCTAGTCAACTAATAACTGATAAGAAACAAGTAGATTTAAGTGCAAAATAGTTGTCATAAATTTGCCAACAGGTACAGAAATTTATCTCACAAATATCAGCAAAACATGAAATTCATGTCCTGACACACACAAAAACAGTTTCAAACTAAGACTAACGATAATTCGCAAAATAGAGATCATAAATCCTAGGCTAAGAGAAAAAAAAGATATAATTTTACTGAGTTGATAAATCTATTAACTATCTGCAAAATAGTTACAAAAGTGAGTTAAATTAAATATGACTTTTGTAATACATATTGAAGCACAGGCGTTAAGTTTAATAAGAAAGAATGTTTCAAAACATAGACACAAATGAGCTGAATATATTAAACACATACATAGAGCCACTAAGAGGAAATAATAGGATAAAAGAAAGTGATAATACTTTGAATGATGCTGATAAAAAATATATACCTCTATATTTTATATACTTGCTTATAACTACAAATACTTGCTTAGATTACGGTCTAGTTTTAAATTGTGAAATATAACTAGGACTGAGAATTGCATATCACTTGAAATATTCAGTAAAAATGGATTTATTTTTAACCAAATAACTATATAAATAAAACATGAAAAATAGAAGGAAAACATGTTAGTAACAAATGAAAATGTTACTGAAAAACATATTTAGGCCATGAAGTCTTTTTTTTAAATATTTTACTTACTATTTTAGAGATAGAGAGTACACAAGCGGGTGTGGGGGGGAGCAGAGGGAGAGGGAAAAAGACTGTGCTGAGTGCAGAGCAGGATGTGTGGCTTAATGTTACAACCCTGAGATCATGACCAGAAACTAAATCGAGTCCAATGCTCAACTGACTGAGACAACCAGGCACTTCATAGGCCATGAAGTCTTAAAATGTTGAAAACAGAGAGAGAGAGAGAGAGGACAGTGATCCTAATAAACCACTCATATATAAAATAATTATGGATGACAGAAGTCATCTCAAATTTCCTGATAGGTATTACTGGGTAATAATAATATCTAGTGTTTACTTTGTCTTTAGTATTTGCCAGGTCTTTTTCTAAGCACTTCACAATATTAACATTTAATTATCACAACAGTATAAGGTACATATTATTATTACTCCTCATTTAGAATATTAAGAACTTTTACAAGAATAATGAGATAAAAGTAATTTAATAAAAAGAACATGGACTTGGAAATCACAAGACCTTGAATCAAATCCTACCCTTTGCCCCTCAACAACTTACCTAACCTCTCTGAGCCTCAGTTTTCTCATTTGTAAGATGGAGATAATTTTATATATCATAGCACTGATACACTGCAAAATGAGATACCATGAATAATACTCAAGATTTTTGGCACATAGCTAAAAAATGTCAGGCACTGAGCACAATTTTGGGAACACAACAAAGGATATATGTACAATCCCCACCTTCAAGAAGCTCACAGTAGTGTGGGTTACCTATGGGTATGATATTTTGTAGATCCTTAGCTATGATTTTTACATTTTCTTAAAGGTTAAGAACATAACAAATAATAAAAATATAAATTATGGAAATTGATATTAAAATATAGTAGGTAATTTGGCTGAGTCACACCTTAATTTCTTTGTGAATGGTATACAGTCTACAGGGATGATAAATATTAATATATTTACATTAATTCTAAATTTTGTGTTTATAATAGTGTACAAAATATATCCAAGGACTCCTGTCCAGGGAATACAATAAGACAACAGCCAACTGAAAATCTTTGCACTTCTCCGTACAAATAGATATTGTCATCATAATTATGGAAACTCTAAAGGTAATAGACTCAAGATTATTTAAATAACTGGTACACAAAGAAGGAACACTCAATGGCATAGAGCAGATTTCACTCTGAACGCCTTGTGAAAGTCTTCTAAGGACTAATATTAACAGTTCCCAGCTCTAGCTCAGAAGGCAAAGCAATCCAGCATGAGCCATATGTACCATTTTGCCAAAGGCATACAAATGGCCAAGAATACAAAAACTGTTTTATGAAAATGATATAAATCGTTCTGGTTTAAGGAAAAGAAAAAAAGAATATAAATTGACTAAATACCTTCTGCTCAGTTTTGCTGCAAATTTAAACCTGCTCTAAAAAATAAAGTCTTAAAAAAAATTCAGTGAACCACAAACTTAAGAGTGTATGAATTTAAAACCTGAAAATATTCTACATCCTAATTACTTATGACAAAGTCCTTATTTGGTTATGCAATAATTAATAATTTTCCAATATTTATAACATTTATCATATAGATAGGTTACTTGTAACTAACTTAACTGCCACAATATCAGCAATACCACTACAAAGGAAGCCTTATTTAAAAGAAGAGAGGAAATATCTTTTGCTAGCACATTTTTCTGGTAATAATCAAGTTTTCTTGGCAAAATAAAACTTAGGAATGATTATAAAACACACTAGCTGTTAACCAGTGTCTACTTATTCTCTACTCCTAGATAACTGGTTATCTTGGCAATATTATTCATGATGTCAAAATTAACATGCCTTTTGAGATATTTTGGATTAGCTTCTAGTCAGGTCTATATGTTGACACAACTTTTTCTCAAATGCTAAGAGCTATTTATTGTTTTTAGAATTAGAAGCTCTGGAAACAGGTTTTCTAGCACTTGTTAATTAACTGTCTTTAAACTTTCAAAAATATAAGTAAAGTAGTATGCATAAGTTTATGTCCATATTTTCTAGCAATATGCAGATATTGATCACTAGCACCAGCAGAAGGGCAGTTTGTTTTTTTTTCTCTTAAAAGTATTTACAGCCAACAAATCTTGGTTGAATTACATACTTAATAGGCTGTGTGACCTTGGTAAAGTTACTTAACTTCTCTTGTGCTTTATTTTCTTAATTATAAAATGAGGATAGTTTCACCTGATTTCACTTCCTACTTCTTTAGCACCTCCTTTTAGGGCTCTTTTTTCTTGACTTGTCCCTTTAATGCTTATGTTTTTCAGAGTTTGGTCCTGATCTCTAGTCTCTTCTACAGATTACAAACTATCACCACAGAGATCAGGGATGTCTTTGTGTTCCAGGGTTAACAATGATCAAAACAGCTGAAGGTGAATGCTTTAAGCAAGGCAAAACAGACTGCCCAACTCCCTGCTGTCTGCCATTTACGCTACCTGCCAGGCCCCTATAAAAAAATTTAAGTTCATGACCGCAATTTTACTTATATTTCCTGATTTTGAGCCATGTGCTGGGTTTATAGTAAAGAGCAAAATTAAACATGTTCTTTGTACTCACTAAGCTTTCAGACAAATGAGGGAAACACAGTAAATTGGAAAAACAAATTTAAATGAGGTTATGTTTAGGGAACAGGGCTAGTTTAATAACAATTTAGAGCTTAAAGCTCAGACAGATCTTGCACCATTCAACCTAGTGCTCATTTCATTATTGTGCGCCAACTGCTCCATTGTGGTTTCAACTTTACATTGAGTGCCTGTTGAATTTCATAACTTTTAAGTTCCCTTAGTCCTCAGGGCTTTCAATGTGCTAATAGACTTAGGGTTTCTCACAGATGATAATGTTAATAAGACAGTAACAGATAAAATTTGCAGAGTATTTATTATGGGCTAGCTAAATGCATTACATAGATCACCTATGAATACTGTAATTACTTCCATTATACACAGGAGAAAATTTGAATTAAAATTAATTTGCCTTAGGTCATATGACTAGTTAGTAAATAAAAGGATTAAAACTTACCGTCTGTCTGATTCTGGAGTTAGCTCTTTTAATGTCCAAGCTTATAATTTCTATAAAAGACATAATTATGTAGAGTTTCCAAATGTATTTAACCACAGAATCCTAACCAAGGAACACCTACTAACATTTACTAGAATAGTATCCTCTAAAATAGTTTGGGAATACTGGCTTAATCCGCACTAAATTTTATTTAATGATTAGGAGATAAAATAGACATATTTAATTGCATGCACAGTTATCATAAATGTAAAACACTTACATAGAGAAAAAAATTACACAGAGAAATAATACTTAACTGCACACACAGTAATTACAAATATAAAACACAAGGAGAAAACAGTCCACGAGATGTTAGTTCTGTTTGGATAGTAAGAATTCTTGGATAGTTTAGATTTTTTTTTCCTTTACTAAATTAAAAAACAATGACCTTGGGGCGCCTGGGTGGCTCAGTCAGTTAGGACGCTGCCTTCGCCTCAGGTCATGATTCTAGGACCCTGGGACCGAGCCCCGCATCAGGCTCCTTGCTCCGCAGGGAGCCTGCTTCTCCCTCGCCCTCTGCCGCTCCCCCTGCTTGTGCTCTCTCTCTCTCTGTCAAATAAATAAATAAATAAATAAATAAATCTTTAAAAAAATAATGACCTTATTTTTATGACAAAAAGCATTTTTAAAGTATTATCTAAATTATTCTGCCTCTTAATTTTGTTCACAATATTCATTATATTTCATTAGATCTAAAAGCCATTGTAGATGCCACTAATCAAAGTTGAGGCTGATTTTATGAAATACATGAATTTAGACATCTTAATCATTAAAACATACACAAAAGGTTATTTCTGAGATTTCTGTCATTTCCAAATGGCTTCCCTTTATCTCAGAAATTTCCTCAGTAGTCTTTCCCCACTCTGATTCTAAATTGCCAATAATTCTTTTTTAATTTAAATTCAATTAATTAACATATAGTGTATTACTAGCTTCAGAGGTAGAGTTCAGTGATTCATCAGTCTTATATCCAGTAATTCCTTTTAAATAGCAAACTCCCTGCCCCAGGTTTTCAATGTTAGGGACCAAATATAAACAAATAAGCTATTACTTTGAAATGGAAGATTTAAGTGCAGGTTGTCAATTTTCCTTTATAATATAGGAATTCTACAAAAATCTGGAAGTGTCTCTCTACTTTCCAAAACATCTGATTTCACTGTTTCAGAACCTCAATTAGGTAAAGGTTTATAGTCTTCTCAGATGCTGTAAATATTGTATTTCATCAAATCTAAGATGCCATCAATTGTAAAATGGCTCCAATCATAAGACGCTCTGTCATTTTATGTACCATTAAGAAAAAAGCACAGAGACGCCTGGGTGGCTCAGCCGTTAAGCATCTGCCTTCGGCTCAGGTCATGATCCCAGGGTTCTGGGATCGAGCCCTGCGTCAGGCTCCCTGCTGGGCAGGAAGTTGCTTCTCCCTCTCCTACTCCCCCTGCTTGTGTTCCCTCTCTCGCGTTCTGTCAAATAAATAAAATCTTAAAAAAAAAAAAAAAGAAAAAAGCACACATCCTGTATTATTTGAAAAATCTCTTTTAAATTTAGCCCTATTTTTATCTTATATAACTCTTTTGTTTCCCTATATTTCTGCATACACATTAACTTTTCATTTTAATGGTAATTCATCATATAAAGGATACTTAAAATGGAGATTAAAGTCAACTACTATATACTAACACTACACATAACTGAACCGATGACAATATTGACACTTATGATCAAGTATGCATAAGTAGGGGCACTGACAACTATGTCACAAGTGCCACTTAGCTCATAGTGATTTTAAGACAATTATAAAATGCATGACAATTTTAGAGAAGCAAATATGAGAAAAGCATGTACATCAGGATTAATAAACTATAATAATTTTAATCACTTTTTTCTCTCCCCCCACCATCAATTCCTAATCTAACCTTCCAATTTTCGTTCCTCCATTTGCTTCATAACCTAACTGCCAAATCACCCCATATGGAGAACATCTTTATTACCATGCTACATAACGTCGTACTTTTTAGAACTATCTTAAAACTCCTACTAGGATTTAAAACGTGTCAAAAGTCAGAATTTTTAAAAAGGTAAATAATAAAAATTAAATATTCTGAGAACAATGAGTCCCAGAAATACTCAAATTATATAGCAGCGGTAACTGGCAATAACTCCAGGGGTGTTTTTGCAAGCTTTGCCAAAATATAGAAAACAGACCTAAAACTATTCTTTTTGTGAATGTTTCTTGTTTATTTATTTATTTATTTACGTGGCATGTATTGAGGGAATGAATTCAAATTCTAGCTCTGCCACTTATTAGCTGTGTCACTTTTTTTATTTAAAAATTTTTGAGATGTAATTGACACAATTATCAAATTAGTTGTAGATGCACAACATGACTCGATATTTATATATACTGCAAGATGATCACATTAGCCCAGTTAACATCCTTCACCATACATAGTTACAAATACTTTTTTCTTGTGAGAACCTTCAAGATCCACTCTCCCAGCTACTTTCAAATACTCAAATGCAGTATTTTTAAACTATAGACACCACACTGTACATTATATCTCTTACTCATTTTATAACGGGAAATTTGTTTTAATTCTTGATTGTTTTTCTTTACCTTCTTCCCCTTTACTAATAAACACACAAGGGTTCCTGGGGGGCTTTAGGGATGGCTAAGAGGGGATTGCTATACAGTGGATGGCTATGAGAAGACAGTCCATATATTTCAGATACTATGGCCATTAACAGAAAATCTTTCTGTCCAGTGAAATATGCATAAAGTTTTTATAAAGGGTATGTCTAGGTCTCTAAGATTTTCTTCAATAGGGTTTAGCCATTCCTTTCCATCCACAGAAGCACTCAGGACTTTTTCCCATTTCTTATCCAAGAACACAGCTAATAACAACAGTCACTACTTTAATGGGCCAGGCACATTATATATGGGTTCATTTAAGCTTTACAACCTTGTGGGATAACATTTCCATTTTATAGAAAAATTCAGAGAAATTACATGACTGGTCTAAATCCAAATATTATAATCCAAATATTATAAATTAAATATTAAATTGCAAAGCTACGATTTTAACTTGTTACTCCAAAACTCACACTACACTTCATTTTTAAAGTGTCTCCCAATCCTAATTAAAATAAATTAACTCATCATCCACCAATACAAACTAAGCTAAGAGCACTAAGAACCTGGCCAGCCATTTCTTACCACCCCTACTCAAGCCACCATCTTGTCTCCTCTAGATTACTACAAAAGCCTCCAAACCGGTCTTTCTTCCACTTTGCCCCTTCCAATCTATTCTCCACAGCAGCAAGATCCTTTTTAAAAGGAAGCCAGCTTATGTCCGTCCACTGCTCAAAACTCTCCAATAACTGAGATGCCTTCAATATCCTTCATGATTTGTTCCTTCTATGATTTTGCCTCCAGCTTTAACCCTTTCACTCAACTCTAACCCACAAGCTTCCTTGCTCTTCAGGCGAATTTCTGCTTCATGGCCTTTGCAATGGCTGGTCCCTCTCTACCTGACCGCACTTCCCCCAAGACATCTGTATGGTTAATTCTCTCATGAATGTCAGCTCTTGCTCGAAAGGCGTCTTTTCAGTAAGACTTTCCCTGGCCACACTGAAATTTCAAACTATATCCTCCTCTGCTTTATTATTTTTCTCTTCAGCTCCCATTACAACCTACAGTATAGCATGTTTTTCTTAATTGTGTTTAGTATGTGTCTTCATCAATAGAACGTGAACTACGGGAAGCTAGGAGTTTCTGTTTTGTTCATTGCTCTTTACCCAGGGCCTAAAACAACGCCCGAAACAGTGTGCGCTTAATTAACTGAAGGATGAATTCTTGACACACCCCCACCCCAGTCCTTTTACACACACGGGCGCGCGCTCACACGTAACAGTACACGTGTTTGTGAATATACTTTTCCAGTAGCATCCTTTCCCTCAGCCCTGCATCCCATTTCTCAAACGTGGTTCCTTCAAAAGGTCCCAAGCTGTTTGTTCCCTACTTCCAGATGCCAAGACTGGTGTTGGGATGAGCGTATTTCCCACTAGTATCGGCAGGCCAGGTCCCATCTCGCCAAGTCGAGTAAGGGAAGGGGGACTCCTTCGAACTCAACCAGCCTACCCGGTACCCTCGGTGGGCGTCACTCACATGAATCGGTGGACACAACAACCTGGGGAGCCTCACCCGGGCAGCCTCAGTCCGGAGCAGTTGGGAACACGCTCCCGCACACGACAGCACTGAGAAAGGACCCAACGAGGTGTCCCCAGCAAACGCCTGAGCGTTCCTCCGATTTAACTCCAAATTCTGCCTCCGCCTTCCTGTGTGCAGCCACACCAGGCTCTCCGTATTCTGTTTCTTTAACCAATAACTCCAATCCCTCTGCACTTCTTCCTTGGTGGCTACATTTTGTCACCAGCTTGGGCAAGGGGCAAAACGCTGGACGTCTGGGTCTTTCCTCAACGTTGTGTCGTGGAAGTTGTGAGGTCAGAGGAAATGGCCCGGCTGAATCGAGGGTGGGGGCGGGGAGAGCTGGGAGCTGTCAGTGGAGAGAGTCAGACTCACGCTCCTGGCCAGATTCCGAGCTGGAAATTTCGGCGGATTCTAGCCAGCAGGCAAAGGGCAACCCCGGCGCTCGAGGAGCGGCTTCTTTTGTAGAAGCACCTGAAATGCAGGGTCTGGTACACTAAGCAGTAGCGCCCGCAGCAGCAGCCATAGCGACAAGCTGGGGCCCTGTGTAGAAGCTCCATCCCCTTGTGTTTGTGTCCGCCTGCGTCCCCACACTCAGAGGCAGGTATTTGGGTTTGTCAGGTTTGTGTGTCGTAGTGGGTGGGGCTGGTGGGAGGTAGAGGAAAGTCAAGTGCAGCGAGTGGCCTGGCTTGTCCCACAGTAAGGGGAGCCAACCTGTGGAGCTGCTTGCTGCTGAGGACTGTGCGCATCCTTAGCTAATGTCCGCCTCCCCTCGCCGCCCCCGGTTGACCTGAGTCCTTTGGGAACTGTAGGCAGCTATTTGAGAGTAACCACTGCATCACTGCTTCAAAGGAAGGTTTAAAGAAGAGGTTAGAGAATGTGGAATCAGTTCTCCATTACTTACCATAGATACAAAGTCTTGGTTTTGTTTCTAGTTTCAAAGGTTTAGTCAGTTGTCGAGATGTAACATTTCCTGGGGAGCGGGAGAATGTGAACAGTTGGAATTGTCAGTGGTTGCTTTTTAAGGCCCCTTGGTTCCTGTTTTTATTTGGGACAGAAAGACAACTTTTTTTGAGGGAAGGTATATAAAATAAATGAACTAGTATTATTCGCCCGTTGAAGAAATGTGTCAACTATTCATGATGAAATCGGCGTCAACCCCTCCCCCTTATTTTCATTTCGACTCAAAGTCCTTTGAGGGCAGGGATTGTGTCTTAGTTACTGTCCTTGGCCAGGCAGCTGGAAAAACACCTGACTTCAAACAGCTTCAAGATATTTGTTGAATGAATGAATTTTCAAAGCCCTCTGCTTACATTGTTTTTACTCAACTAATCTCTCACCTCAGCTTTTTTTTTTTTTAGTAGCTTTCTTCCACTCACCAAATGTGAACAAATCTATGTGTATATTTTGTACATATGAACCTTTTTATGTGCACCCATCTAGGAGGTAGTTGAAGTGGAATATTGATGAAATGTTTTATGCTAACTAGTATCTTATCTTTTTGAGTAATTTGCATTTTCTTTATTTGGTTATTTGATTTTCAGTTGTCTGATAGAGGCTGTCTAATTGAAAGTCAAACAGCATAATATAGAAGGATTGAATAATAAAATGCAACAGTTTAGTGTCTCCCTTCCTACCTTAGTCCTCTTCGTCAGAAATTACCACTTTTAATCTTTTCTAACTTTAGGTCTATATGTTGAATAATAAGTTAAAATGCTCATTCTTGTTTTTTTAATTGACTTCTTAAGATAACCCACACTATCCCCAACCTCTCTTCTCCAAAGTTTTAATTAGTTATTACAATTTTTAGTTTTTCATATTGGTTAATGTTATAATTTTAAATAATATATAAAAATTATTTTTTCATGTCAATTTTCAAAAATATATTTGGGCTCCTTATTTGGTAAAATGAGGAAAGTAATGACTCTACCTTCTTTACCACTGCAGAAACTACATCCACCACTCCCACCTTCCCTTATCTGGACCTTTACTTATATATTGTCAAGGTTAATAATATCTATATTATATCCCTTTTTTTAAGATTTTATTTATTTGAGAGAGAGAGAGAGAATGAGAGATAGAAAGCACGAGAGGGAAGAGGGTCAGAGGGAGAAGCAGACTCCCTGCTGAGCAGGAAGCCCGATGTGGGACTCGATCCCGGGACTCCAGGGTCATGACCTGAGCCGAAGGCAGTCGCCCTATATTATATTTCTTAACTACAATTTTTTTTTTGCTTTTTTTGTGTGTGCTAAAAAACATTAAAATGTTACAATAGTATGGCTTTGTAAATATTCCTAAATCCAGGGCCAAAAAGTATGCCATGATACATTTCCTTCCCATTGTCTTCATTTCATGACCCCTATGCCACACTAAGGAGGTGACTTGTAATATTAACATCAAATTGACTTCTTTCTTCCTCTATGATGACAAAAAATTATGCCATAGTTAAGTGTGATTTAATTTTTGGGTTGGGTACTTCCTATATAGCTTTTAACCTTCCTCACTTTTACAAAGGACTTTCTGTTTACTTTTGGGGGAAAGGTACATGTACTTCTTTCAGAATCCTCCCATCACATGCTTTCTTCACTGTGTCCTCTCATTCTTTGTATGAGAAGCTTCCATTCCATTTCTCTGCTTGAAGATGTTCCCTTTGAAGCCTAGTCACTTTCTGTTTAATTTGAACAGATTACATTCTGGTAAGTTACATTGTTTCTTAACCACACATATTCTGTTATTTGTTTTTTTCCTCTCTTTTGGTAGAATACATCCTAAGGATACTTATTCATAAAAGGTATGTGGATGGTAATTTTATTTTTTAATGTTCATATGGCTATAAATTATTTTGCTATTATGATTGGTGGTTTGGTAGGATATAGAAACAGAATTATGTCTCTTTAAGTCTTTCAAGGCTTTGTTGTCCTCTAACTTTCACTATTGCTCATGAAATGATGAGAATGACAGTCTTACAACTTGTTGATGCCTGAACTATTTGTTTTCTCTCTGGAGTGATTGAAAAATTTTAGTTTTGCATGATGCTTTGAAAATTTATGATGACATGTCTTGTGTGTTTATTCGTCTTGCAATGAACTCATTGAAAGGAGCTAGGATAAAATGTCTCAGTGTGGGTATTTTCATTTATCCTCCTTAATACCATAAGCCTTTTTAATTTGAAGTACACATTTCCCTTCAGCTGTGGGGAATTTTCTCCTATTCTGTTTTTCATAATTTATTCTCCTTTATTTTTCTCTGTTTTCTTTTTGAAACTCCTGTAAGGTGGTTCTTGGGTTCTTGGTTTGATTCATTAGGTCTTATTATCTTTTTTCTTATGTTTTTATCTATTTGCTTTTTGTTCCATATTCTGAGCAGTTGTCTCAACTTTATTTTCCAACATTTCTATATAACTTGGTAATCATTTAACTTCCAACCACTCATTTTAAATTTTTCCTTTCTCATAGTATCTTAATTTTATTCCATTTTTTATATTTTTGAGATAAAATGTACATATATTAAAATGCACTGATTTTAAGTGAGTAGCTGTTAAGTTTTGATACATGTAAACATCCATGTGACAACCACCACCCCAATCAAGACATAGAGCATTTTCACTCTTCCCAAAAATTTACTGTGTTTCTCTATCCAATCCCATCCTCCCTGCCCAACCCACTATGTACTCATTTTTATCACTCTAGTTTGGAAATGTAGTTCTGAAACTACATTTAAATGGAGTCATAGAATATGAACTCATCTGGGACTACTTTCATCAACATAATGTATTTGAGATACGTATATTTTGGCATGTTTGTTCCTTTTCTGTTGTTGAGTAGAATTCCATTGGATGAATAAGCCACAACTTATTTATCCATTCACTTGCGTGACGTTTACAGTGCTTCCAGTTTGGGGCTGTTGTGAATAGAACTACATGAACATTCTCATACAACTAGTTTTATGAGCATATTTTCATTTTTCTTCGGTAAATATATAGTAGGAGTGGGATTTCTGAGTCATAAGCTTAGGGTATTTTTAACTTTAGAACAGTTTCCCAAAAAGTTTTCCGAAGTTCTTGTGTCATTTTTACACTCCCCCCAGCAGCAGTATATTATCTCCAGTTCCACATTTTCCTCAACACTTGGTATTTCCAGTCATTCTAATTTTAGCCTTTCTGGTAGGTGTGAAATTGCATGTTTTTGTGGTTTTAATTTTGCATTTCCCTGATGATTAATGATTGAGAACTTTTTCATATGTTTATTATCTATTTGTATGTTCTTTTGTGAAAATGTATGTTTAAGACTTTAGCCTATTCTGTATTGACTTGTTTTCTTTTTATTATTGAGTTGTAGGAATTGTTTATATATTCTGGATACAAGTCTGCCATCATATATACACATATATATACATATAGGTATTTTTTTTTAAGATTTTATTTATTTGACAGAGAGAGAGACATAGCGAGAGAGAGAACACAAGCAGGGGGAGTGGGAGAGGGAGAAGCAGGCTTCCCGCCGAGCAGGGAGCCCGATGTGGGACTCGATCCCAGGAGCCTGGGATCATGACCTGAGCCGAAGGCAGACGCTTAACAACTGAGCCACCCAGGTGCCCCTACATATATGTATTTGATAAAAATGTCATATATATACATATATTTATAAGTAAAATAACATTTTCCTTATCTTTGGTTTGGATTTTCATTTTCTCAAGGGTGCCTTTTGATGTGCAGATGTTTTTAATGTCAGTCAGGTTCACTTTATCAAGTTTGTCATTTATGGTTAGTGCTTTTTTTTTTTTATCCTGCCTAAGAAATCTTTGCCTACCCTAAGGTTGCAAAGATATTCTCTTATGTTACATTTATGGCTATAATCCATTGCAGATTTTCATGGATGTAATGGTAGGAATTGAGGGTTTTTTTTTTTTCTGTATTTATATCTTGTTCCAGCACCATTTGCTAAAAAGACTGTCCTTTCTGTATTGATTTTCTTGGCCTTGAAAATCGATTCATTGTATTTTTAAATTTTTTCATCTTAAAATTTTTAAAAAATATGAAATATGTGGTTTACAGCATGCACATATACAGATATGGAATATAGAAATTATGGAGCATAATAATAATATGAACACCCATTAACCCACCTATTAAGAACTAATGTATTACTCAAGATTTTTGAAGCTTCTTATGGGATCTTCCCTAATCTCACTCCTGCTTTTCATACAATGGTAACCCTATCCTCAGGTTTTACTATTATTACTATTCCTTTACTTTTTTAATATAATATTACCTCATATGAACATATTCCTGAATTATTTATTATTTAGCTTTTCTTGTTGAATATTATGAATATTGACATATATTTTATGTGCTGTTTTTTTCCTACTCAAGGTTATATTTCTAGATTCATCAATGCTGTTAATTGTTGCTACAATTTGCTTATTTTCTTTCATGTATACTCTTCTATCAGGTGAATGTACCACAATTTACTTAACCATTCACCTGTCTTTGGACATTTAAGTGTCCAGTTTGTGAATAACAGGAACAATACCGTGCTGATCTTTCTCGTATGTATCCCTTTCTAAATTTGTGTAGGAGTTTCTGCAGGAATGGAATAGCAAAATAGCGTCAGACTGTTTTCCAAAGTGGTTGTATTAGTTTACATTCTACTGCTTCATATCCTCCTAACCTTATGTATTATCAAATTTCTTTTTTTTTTAAGATTTTATTTATTTATTTGACAGAGAGAGACACAGCGAGAGAGGGAACACAAGCAGGGGGAGCAGGAGAGGGAGAAGCAGGCTTCCCGCGGAGCAGGGAGTCCGATACGGGGCTTGATCCCAGGACACCAGGATCATGACCTGAGCTGAAGGCAGATGCTTAACGACTGAGCCACCCAGGCGCCCCATATTATCATATTTCTTATTTTTACTATCTTGCAGGTATAAATTCTCATGTAGTTTTAATGAGCAACTTCTTGGATATTAATGAGGTTGTTCATCTGTATCAGCAATTCCTTTTTTACTCCTGTGAAATATGTTTTACCATACTGCCTGTTGTAATATTGTCTCAAAATTTTCTAAATATATTTCAGCCAGTTTTGGTTTTTGTTGTCTTCTTTTCCATAAGTTATCTCAGTTGCCTCCAGGGCAGATTTTTTTTTATTTGTTTATTTTATTTTTTGCCCATTATAATGTAGTCTTTCTTCAACTCTCTGATGATTCCTGGACAGTTCATTATTTCAGAGTTAAGGAAGTCTGTCTGAGAGCTTTGTGTATATGGATAAGCTTGTTGACTGCTGTACTCTGCTTTAGGATGTCTGAGTAGGTAGATCTTAACTGGGGTCCTACAAATTCTAGAATTAAGAACAGTTTGCTTTTGTCACCATTGCCACCAGCTGTTTATTGTAATTCCCACACGATTTAATTTCTAGGGAAGAAATTTAACTTTTTTTCCTTTGAGGATAGATAACTACCCCGTATTGGGAAGGCCAGTGGCAGAGTTACTCTTTTATTCTTCAGCCCTTTAAATTATCTTTCTCATTTCAAACCCTCTTCTGACTTAAGTTCCCCATTATTTCTGCTTCTCTGATCTGAAGGCTCTGAATCTGAAGAGGCCCAACATACCTCTTGACTGTAATATAGGTTGTAGCTTCTTTCTTTTGCTTCTTATGACAATACTCCTATGTATGCAAAATGCTATATTGGAGTTTTTCGAACTCTTTCTTTAGCTCAAGAGAACAGAAAACTGTTCTCTTCCTTATTATGAGTTTATACATTTAAAATGTTTCTTTTTAATGTTTTTAATGAGATTTCTGCACAGACATGAAAAGTGGTCTATTCTATTTTGAATTCCAACATTTTTATCTTGAAAGCTGGGAAGGAAAGCATGCAGTGCTTGAGCAATGGAATGTCTTTTTAGTGAGACACCTGGGTGAGAGAAAGATTTTTTTTTTGCCTGAGGACCTTTTCTGTTGTGATTACCTTAATGTGATTCAGATTGATTTGGAGCAAGTTCCTTAATCTCCAGGTTACTTCGTCTGGGGCATTATTTGCTTTAGGCCATGTCAATAGGACCACTCCAGATATCTATATATCTATAGATATAGATATATAGATCCTATAGATATATATCTATAGATATATATATATGAAACATCTATAAACCAGGGGCAATAACATCTGTGAAGGTTGTTGAGAGAATTAAAACAGGTCACATGTAGGGGCGCCTGGGTGACTCATTTGGTTAAGCGTCTGCCTTCCCCTCAGGTCATGATCCCCTGGGTCCTGGGAATGAGTCCCATGTTCAGCTCCCTGCTCACAGGGGAGCCTGCTTTTCCCTCTCCCTCTGCCCTTCTCCTCCCATCCCCCACCCATTTGTGCTCTTGCTCTGTCTCTCTCTCTCTCTCAAATAAATAAATAAATCTTTTAAAAAATAGATAACTAAAGCAGATCACATGTAAAGTACCTAGCACAAAAACAAAAATTGATTCATTAAGTAATATTATAGAAGCCTCTGTTATCTAGTTTAATTTTTACTACTATCAAAATAGAGGCCCTGGGGCACTTGGGTGGCTCAGTCGTTAAGCTTCTGCCTTTCAGCTCAGGTCGTGATCCCAGGGTCTCATAGGGCTCCCTACTCAGCAGGAAGCCTGCTTCTCCCTCTCCTACTACCCCTGCTTGTGTTCCCTCTCACTGTCTCTCTGTCAAATAAATAAATAAAATCTTTAAAAAAAAAATAGAGGCCCTGATAATTTAAAGTTAATGATTCCTATCTTTATCTCCTCTTTCCTGACTTTACTCTCTCTGTGAGAAGGAAAAGTTCTTGATGATCTTAATGGTCTCTTCTCTATTCAAGCTTTAGGTAAACAGAAGATCCTTATTGATATAAATATGCAATAACAGATTTCCTCTAAGCTATTAAAACCGTCGGTGTCATTGAAAAGGGAATGTTCTATATTTTCCTTTTTATGCCATTGAAAATCTTTGATTATGATTTAGAACTACAATGTAAATTTATGATTGGGTGGTTTTTCCTCTTTGACATTATCTTGGAATTTTTTAACTTTGATATTGGCAGTTTCCTCCAAGTTATATATTATTAATCATATTTAAGGTTAGAAAACACTGGCTTAATTTTTGGTTGATCTGTCATAAAATTATCTCCTTTTCCAGATTATCTTTGAAGATCGAGGACTCTGAAATGTTTCCCCTGAAGGATGCTGAAATGGGTGCCTTTACCTTCTTTGCCTCGGCTTTGCCACATGATGTTTGTGGAAGCAACGGGCTTCCTCTTACACCAAATTCCATCAAAATTTTAGGGCGATTTCAAATCCTTAAGACCATCACTCATCCAAGACTTTGCCAGTATGTGGATATTTCTAGGGGAAAGCATGGTAAGTTGTTCTTTTTTTCTGTTTTTGTATTCTTTATTCTGTTACCTTGATTAGGTTACAGATATGCAGTGAATACATACAGTAATCAGTATGTGTGTGCTTGCACGCCTTCGCCTTCAGTCCATCCAAACTCAGTCTTTCAAGTTTTCCTGATTGCTTTGGCCCCTCACATGTCCCTCGTTTTATACTCTGCTATTTTCTCTCTTGGATTATACTATGCTCCATTCCCTACAATCTGAGCTTAGTCCCTTTCCTAGATTCTTTTATAGTTTTTATCATATTTTATTATTATTTTCTATTTAATTTGTCTCTCCTGAGGATTCTTAGTTCTGGAAAAAAAGGACAAAATAGGGGTGCCACACTCTTGATTTGGGCTCCAGTCATGATCTCAGGTCCTGGGATTGATCCCTGCATTGGGCTCTACATTTAGCCAGGAGTCTACTTCAGATTCTCTCTCTCCCTCTCCCCCACCTGCATGTCTCTCTCTCTCTCTAAAATAAAGAAATAAATAAAATCTTAATAAAAAGGGGGGGGCTAATGACTTTTACCTCTGACCTCAGAATCAGAACTGCACAGAGCACACAGGAGGCATTCAATAAACGTTGGTTGAGTGAGTAAAGTAATGAATGACTACATTTGAGGGATTGATATTTTTCAGATCTGAGAATAGGATTTTTAATTTTCTCTTTCAGGGAAACCACCTGTCTTTAAGCATTTTTCTTCCCTTCTATAAAAAGGAAATGAAAGTTCTAATATCAGGAATTTTGGAAATATCTATTTAAATGTATCTTACAATTGAAAGTAATAATTTGGGCTGTCTTCAAATGAAAAGGGAGTCACTAATTTTTTTTTGGAGCTGCATTACTCTTTTCATATAAAATTCCATTTAGAAAAACCAAAGTAGGAAAGTTGAACCCTATTGGTTAAAAAGTCAATGTTTCACCAGGAAGGTGTTTACTGCCTTTTTAATAGTATAGTCAGGTTCTTTCATATCCCATATCTCAGTCCATTTGGACTGCTATAACAAAAGATCATACGAATAAACAACATTTATTTCTCCCAGTTCTAGAGGCTGGGAAGTCTAGTGAGGCCCACTTCCTCATTGACAGCTATCTTTACTGGTGGATGGGGCCAGGGAGTTCTTTCAGTCTCTTATAAAAGCAGTAATCCCATTCATGAGGGCAGAGCCCTCAGGACCTAATTATCTCCCAAAGGTCCCACCCCAAACACCATTGCACTGGGGATTAGGCCTTAACATATTAATGGGGTTGGGGGAAGACACAAATATTCAATCTATACCACCCCTAAAGATGTTTATGATGACAATATTTTAATTATTTTAAAATTATTTTTGGAAACTTAATTTCATGCTGAGGTTCCATTGCTTAAAATTATTTTAAATGCATTCAATGAAATGTATTTAATTTTTCTAACAAAATACTTTGTGAAAGTTAACCCTATATACTTGCTGATATTGCCTATAAAAATAGTATTTTTATGTGTTTGAACCTAATATTACCAAAAAAATGTAATGTTTTCTTTGTTTTGCTGAAAAATAGGCTAAATGATACTCTCAAGTAGTCTGGATTATGGTTTTCAAAAAATATTTGCTCTGAAAACATTGACATTTTATAGACTTTGAGTAGAAAATGTTTTTGTAATAAATATTATTAAATTAATATTTATGGAGTATTTGTTGTGTTTTAGGCAGTTTTATAAATGCTTTACGTATTTTAATGAACTTAATCCTCATAACAGTACTATGAAATAGGGACTATTCTCATTTTACAGATAAGGAAATTGAGATACAGCAATTAAGCAACTAATGTAAGGTCATACAACTAGTAAGTAAAGAGGTGGAATACTAATATATTTTATCATATTTTGAAAGATTTTTAAAGCTGAAATAAGTGTACATTAATGCAAATTGATACCTCTACCAATCAGAGCTATTCAATGCCTTAAATACTTTGGAGCTCTACCACATACCTAGTGTCTTGAATATTTAGATATGTCAGGCCTGGTAAGAGACATGAAAAAGAAGGTAGTAAAAAGAGTTAATTGTCTTACAGATGATAAAAATTTGTGATTTTTCATATTCATATGTATGTACACATACACATTACACACACACAGACGTGTTAAAGTATACATTATTCTATTGAGACCTCCTTTACTATGTGAGATTGCCTTTGATTGATCTATTCAGCAAATATTAGTAAAAGGCCTAACCTTTCAAGAGAGAATGTAGGTGGGGCCATGTTAAGGCCATAAGGGTCTCTCCACAGGGAATAAACGTGGAGGGCAGAGCTGATGGAAAACTAGGATTGAAGTAGTTATAAAGATGCTGATGAGCTGAAGATTTGTTTAGGAACCAGTCTTTCTTGTCTACTCTGACATTTCTTATGTTGTGCTTTGGTATATATATAGTCAGTCCACTGGTGTTAATAACAATCTCTTTCCTACTACTATGGCTCTCCTTGTGCTAGATGCCAGATATATGAAGGTGAATAAGATAGGATCCCAGTTCCCAAGCTCTAGAAGTAGTAGAGGAAAAAAAATACAAACATGATTATAATATTATAATAGTTGATACAGCAGATGATGTACAATGTGCTATGCCATGGGAGTACAAAGGAAAGAATGTTGAATTCTCCATTGAAGAATGTAGATATTCATCAAACTCCCACATAGAGAATTTTAGTGGGGTAGGAGACCTTAGAACACAGCGGGATATAGCTTTTTTGTCTGTGAAGTTTTATTTACTTTCATTTATTTTAATGGTACCAGTGGCCTAAAGGAATAGCAGATTTTCGAGAGATGTGCTGGCTCTTTATTGCTGACATATTCCTAAGAAAGCAAATCTTAATATCATTCTTAATTAATCATTCTTATTCTTTTTAAAGGAATTTACATTTCTTATAATCTTTTTTCTTCTGAGATCAGACGAAATCGGGCGCGTTGGTGGTATGGCCGTAGACTATAATCTTTTTTCTAAAAAATTGAGATACAGTATTATATATACATACACATAATATTATGTATACAATATGTACATGAAAGAAAATATATAATCAGGATGGGGAGAAAGGAAACGAAGAATAAGATATTAAGTTATAATATTAATACATAGTTTCTTCACATGAACTACAAATTTTTTTGTAGACTTCTTGTAGGTCAAGGCAAAGAAGGAAATTGATCTGCTTCAAATTACATTTATAATGCGGCAACATATTAAGAAATTAATTCCTGGGTGCCTGGGTGGCTCAGTCGTTAAGCATCTACCTTCAGCTCAGGTCATGATCCCTGGAGCCCTGCATGGGGCTCCCTGCTCGGCGGGAAGCCTGCTTCTCCCTCTCCCACTCCCACTCCCCCTGCTTATGCTCTCTCTCTCACTGTGTCTCTCTCTGTGAAATAAATAAATAAAATCTTTAAAAAAAAAAAATAGAAGGGCGCCTGGGTGGTTCAGTTGTTAAGCATCTGCCGTCGGCTCAGGTCATGATCCTGGGGTCCTGGGATCGAGCCCCGCATCGGGCTCCCTGCTCTCCAGGAAGCCTGCTTCTTCCTCTCCCACTCCCCCTGCTTGTGTTCCTGCTCTCGCTGTCTCACTCTCTGTCAAATAAATAAAATCTTAAAAAAAAAAAAAGAAAAATTAGTTTCTAAATTTTTACTTAAATCTGGAAAAATGATCAGTTGCAAGCTTTATAATGTTCATATAATATATTGTATGTTCAGGTGATATATAGAGACATTATATAGAAACTTTTATGGCATGGGGATCTGAGATATTCTTCATTTGTTATTATGGGGAGTGTTCTCAACACATCTGACTAAATTTGCTTTATTGTTCTTTTTTGTGTTGATCTCTGAGTGGAAACCTCTGTAGCTTCATGTCCCAATTTTTCTATGGGTGAACATCTAAATAAACTAAATTTGACAGTTTAAAATAGCACTCAAGAGCCACAGGGACCTATGAATGGGCATCAGGAGATCTATGAACCATGAAATTATATATACAATTTTGTGTGTGTGTACATGTATGCACAAGCATTTTTTGGATAATGAGTCCATAGTTTTAACCAGATTCTCAAAAAAGATTCATAATGTAAAGACAGGGTTTAAAAGCACTTATGCAGAGTATCAGCTACATGGAGAGAATTTTTCTTCTTTATTTCAAGACGTTCTGGAGAAGTTCTAATGTAGGCAATAAACCTTTCGAAGTTGATTTGATCTGTATCTGCAGGTGTGCCATATCACATATTTACCAATTCAGAGACCCACATTCAGAGCCACTGTATAGAGTTTTGCACAAAACCTTTTGGTTAATGCGATAAGGAGGAGCTGAATTCTTTTTCTCTAATTCATTCTGAGAGGAGAGGTGCTTTTTCTAATTTGCCTATATATAGCCATGAAGACAAGTGGTAACTGTACCCACAGGAGACTTTATAGATAGCTCTAGCCATTTGCCAAAAGTTTAGAAAGGAACTTTTGGCAAGTTTGTTGTTGTTGTCTTTTAAAAACATTTTTTTTCTTTGCTAAAGTTTTTATTTGATGAATGGCTTCAATGACATTAAATATTTAAATTATAGGAATCATTTGGGTTTTTTTTTTATACCACCAAACAATTGATAGATATTGTCAATCCCTGAATGCATTTAACACCTCTTCCCACCACTACCAATCCAATTACAAATTCTAAAGAATTTACAATTGTTACATTGGCCCAGTGTCAAAACCACTCCAAAGCTTGGAAATATAGTAGATCCTCATTATCATTTGTAGCTGGTAGCCATAATTAGTGTTACTGTTTTCCATCTGCAGTTTTGAAGTAGCCTGTCTTCCCAAACTCTTACCACTTAGTTCTTAGGATTTCTTCATTCTTGTATCCTAAAGTGCCTTTTATTTCTTTCCACTATGTCTGGAAGCCTATGTGGGGCTTCACATCATATGATTGGAGTCTTGGCTTCTATCCAGTTCTCCCTAGACTTTCTTTTCTTAGG